GTAATATTTCTAAAAGCAACTTTAACGATATTTATTTTAAAAGTAAAATAAAAAGATATAAAAGAGGACATGGCAGAAAAAAGAAAAACAAAAGCCATGAAGATAGAATATACAAAAGGACTCTCACTTTAAGAGAGATTGACAATAAATATGAAAGTTTAAAAAGAAAAATTTCTGAAAGCAAATACAGCTTTTATAAAGATATAAGTAGCCTTCAAAAAGGCGAGCTCAAGCAACTTAGCTCTCATTCCCTCTGCAAATCTGGAGCCATTTTCCTTGTTATACAATCTTTTGCTGGCCAAGACAGCACTTCTTCTCCTAATATCACCTCTGTTAATAGCGAGTTTATCACTTTTCACTATTGTTCTAAAATATTTGATAAACTCCGAATAGAATCAGTCATTCGTGACTCTAGGATCTTGACTCTTCTCCCTCCAAACCTTACGCCTTTCCTTCCCTTAAAAGTTTACTATAAGTACGATATTCCTGTCGGGCGTAAGCTTTTTAATTATAATAGATTCCTTAAATCACTTGATAATACTACTATTTCCTCCATCCTGGAAGGTGATTGCCCCTGTTCCAGTAACCCTTATTGCTATCAGCCTCGAGGCCACATCATCACCGGTGACCTTGCTTTCATTGAGCACGAGGATTTAAGAGGCATCATGAGTTACGGTACCAAATTTAGGGAACCTGTGTCTGTTCCTCCTGAGCAAATCTTGGAGAGCCTCAACGAGTGTTCAGCCAACTTCGCCACCCGTATGGCTAGGAAACATGGACTTTCATGTTTGGAATTCCAGGATTGGAAAGATGAGGTCTCCCGGATCTTCACCAATCGCCTTAACTTCCTCTCCTCCTCCCCTAATAACTTCACTCCCTACAATTCCATTCTACAAAGGGATGATGTTAAATCTTATCTCGACAGTCTTTCGTCTTCTTTTATTATTTGCTCCGTAGATAAAGCTTCAAATAATTATGTTTTTGTCTGCAAGAAGTTTTATCTTTTAACCCTTCTCAACGAACTTGGCTACGATCTCACTTCTCTAGAGTGTCGTGGCAATTCTACTTATCATCCGGTTAACTCTGTAGAGGATGATATTATTCAGGAACATGTGAACTTCATTAAAGATAACTTTAATATTCGTGTTTCTGAGGACAACCTTTGTCTACCGAGAATCTTTTGGATTCCTAAACTTCACAAGAATCCTTATAAGTCTAGATTTATAGCTGGGGCCAGTAAATGTACCACTAAGCAGATATCAGTTGTAGTCAACAAAGCTTTAAAAGTTTTAAAAGAATACTTTTCCAAATACTGCAACTCTATCTACAACAATACTGGAATTAACTGCGACTGGAGCATTAACAGCTCTAAACAGTTCCTGGAAAGGCTGCCTAGACTAGAGATTTTTAATATGCAGGTATACGACTTTACCACTCTGTATACCAATCTAGACCTTCAGGTTGTACAGTCACTGCTTTTCGAGCTAATAGATCTCCTCTTTAGTAATACGAATAAATTTATTTGTGTTTCTCTGTATAAGAACAACAATTTTTTCTCTAAAAAGGAATATAACGGATACTTATGTTTTTCTGCTGATAAACTCAAAACAGCTATTACATTTATTCTGTTTAACACTTTTGTTTGTTTTGGGGATCAGATTTTAAGACAAACGAAAGGCATTCCCATGGGAGGGAATTCTAGTAGCCAGTTCGCTGATCTTTCGCTAGGGAAGTGTGAATTCAACTACATGACACGCCTAATCAAAGAAAAGAAGTTCGGTCTCGCTAAGCTCCTCTCAAGAAACTGCAGATATGTCGACGACCTCAACACCATGAACTATTTGCATTTCTCTAACCTAATCAGGTCCATTTATCCACCTGACCTGCTTATGGAGAGGAGTGGTGACGACAATAAGTCCGTAAACTATCTCGACATCAACATCTCGATGAATAACTCCGGACACGTCGCCACCAAGCTTTACAACAAACTTGATGACTTCAACTTTCCTGTGGTCATGTACACCTTTCCTAACAGTAATATTTCCTCTTCTGTTGGTTATAATGTTTTTTACGGTCAGGTCCTTCGTTACTCTTCCATTATCTCTGACCTTGATTCTTTTCTGTATTCTACCAACACCCTTTATAGGACACTTCTTTCAAGATGTTATAATGACAGACTCCTGAAGAGTAAATTCAGAAAGCTTCTGAAAGACCGACCTAGTATTCTGTACAAATACAGTATACTTGATGTCAGCGACATCCTTGACATCACATTTAACGTGAACAGGTGATCACTGACGAGTGATTGCCAGGGGGTCTTGGCACATTAAACCGGTACAGGTATTAAACCCCCGAAACCGGTGTGCCAAGTCATCTGCTGATGATGTTCACATAACATTATTTCCTCTCTCCTTTATTCCTTCCGTCTTTTCTTAAACTTACAGTTCAGTTACTTTATTTCACCAGGTCTACCTAAGGATCAATTATTCTTTGGTGGGGTTTCACTTCTGGTATTGGCTTCATTCCCGTTCCTTTTCCTTATTCTTTATACTTATTTTTTATATAGTTTAATGAGATTGAATGCAAAAATCAGCCCCCTAATTGTGAATTATTACGGTCTTTTTTTCGATAAGGGGGGACAGAGGGCCCAATTTGCGATATAAACCAGACAATATTGAAGATTTAGATTTAAATATTGAGCCCTTTGGCTTGAGAATACTTTCTTGAATATTTTCGATAGTTTTTAATATTGGTAATGTTAATGAATTGTAATTGATTGATATGTAATATTTAGGCCCGTGGCCAGTTTTCAAAAAATTATTACGGTCTCCTGACCGACCTCAGGAGATTGTGTAGGAGTCATTGGCACGCCCTTTGGGATGGATGAATGTGTCTCCATGTGATTAGAAATGTTTACTTGCCTTCATTTTACGTACAAGTTTTATTTATTGAATTGGCCTATTTATTAATGTTAAGGGTGTCTCAAACTTATAACTGGACAATGACCAGTTATCTGTGTATATATATATTGTTTGAATACCTTTTTAATACGTTCAAGTTTACGTACATTGGAATGTGACCCCTCGTATTATTAATTTTTATCCAAAGTTCTGTTGTGTTATGGACAGTTCCGTTCTATGCCAATTGATCTTCATTTGGAGAAAATAATCAGCCCTTAAATCCTCTCCTTTTTTTGCTCTCAAGATATGAAAAATGTCAAGTAAAATACAATTTTTTTAAGTAATATAAAAATTAAATCAAGTGATGCAATTGGCAGAGCACAATCGTAGATCCTGAGCAATAGATATCATCTATCCCTCGTAGCTCTTCTCCTCAGGTATCAGGTTGAAGGAGACATTGGATATTGGGGTGGTCCATGCCTTCTTTGTCTTTCCACGTACACCTCTAACTGCTTCTAGCACACTACTCATTGTATCCATGCTCAGGCGTTTCCTAATGTTACACATCACCTTGCTGTAGTCCTCCTTGGTCTTGGTGGCTATCAACACAGCAAGTCTCCTTATGAAACGTGGGGACCTTATTGAAGCTTTTAAGGTAATTAATGGTTTGACTGATTATGGTTCAGACTTGTTCAGACCAAGCAGATCAGGTCTTAATCTGGTTTCATCCAATAGATGTAGTAAAAGTGTGACAAAGGTCAAGAATATCCAGAAGTCTTTTGAACAAGCGTAATTCTTTAACTAACTTGAGGCTGTCTACTCTGCCCTTTATCTTAATTTTAACCAACTTCATCAGGGATGTCTCCTGGTGATTGATGAGGTCAACCAGCTCCTCTGTTATCTTGAGTGACGTCTGATATTCCTTCTCCGCGATCTCTACTGGATTAACAATACCAAGCCCCCCTAGTCTTTCAGGTAGCGCAAACATTCTCCTGTGCAGATCAGACACATTCCTACCAATAATTGCCGGGGTGAACTTTTCTCTTATACACTTCTCCAATGGGATGAAGAGGTCTTTAGTGTCTTGGATGGTATGCATCACAAAGGTCCACCAATGACATAGGGCTTTGGTATACCCTGATAGGGCTGCCTGAGGTTCATCAAGGGCGATATCTGACAACTCAAGTCTACATCCTTCACCCATTTCTCTACTTTCTTTTTTACATACGTCTCTCTAGCCTCCTCTCCACCTATCACTGCTCCCAGATGACACTCCCCATCACATGTGATCTCTATACCAGTATCTCCAAATAAAATGGGCTGCTGGTAGTAGCGATTTTTCTTTAAGGATAAGAATAGTTTTCACAGCTTTAGGGAAGTAGCCTAAGATAGGACATATGTTTTGACCAATGATTGTTATTGTGAACAAAGTCTGGTGGATTCCGAGGTAGTTTAAAAAGCCTTTAACCTCCTAAGTGCATGAGAGTAGATTTCCAAACAGCAGTAGTCCTTGCCTCTTGGATTCTGATCAAGGTTATCCACAAAGTGAATATCTGGTGTTGAAAGAGTTAGCTGTACCAATCACATCTTGAAATTTCAATTCTACTCGGTATTGTGAGATCACCGAGTCATATAATGTTTATTAACTATCAAAAACAAAAAAATTGTATCTCAAGTACAAAGCCCTCCGTTTGTCTTCGAGTCCTGAAGGTTAGATTCTAGAAATTATATCATGATGTTCTCATCCTCATAATCTCCTGTCATTCCATGGCCAGTTTTCCTAGTTTGGTCTATTTCTTGATGTCAAATGTGGCATAGCCTCATTAACTTCACTGAGCATCATCCTAAGCGAATGTTCATTGAAGAAAATGTAAATTGATGTTTAGCTTCCGAAATATCAATAAATCCGATAGTAGGAGCCATTGAACATTATTACCTAGATTTTCTACCAATTTTCCCTTAAACTTTTGCAAAAGCACAGCATGCTGATAAAGATGATAGTAAGTTTAATTGTTTTACCCTGCTTCATTGCATTGTGCGTACAGTTTAGTTCTCATATCAATGTTTTCTTCAACAATATAAGTTATATATCAATGATTCATTACATTATAGGTAATTTGAGACATGACTGCTGATGAAAGGCGAGAGCGAGCACTGGTGGAATACCGGAAAAAGCTCATGGAGCACAAAGAAATTGATGCTAAGCTCAAGAAAATGCGTGAGGAACTGAAAGACCTTCAGAAAGATTTTGACAAATCCGAAAATGATCTTAAGGCTTTGCAAAGTGTAGGTCAGATAGTGGGTGAAATGCTGAAACAGCTGACTGAAGAAAAGTTTATTGTAAAGGCATCCAATGGTCCACGTTATGTGGTTGGTTGCAGAAGGCAAATTGATCGTGCTAAGTTGGTGCCAAGCACCAGAGTTGCTTTGGACATGACTACCTTGACAATTATGAGATGCTTGCCTCGAGAGGTGGACCCTCTGGTTTACAAGATGAGCCATGAGGATCCTGGTGATGTGAAGTACTCCAATGTAGGAGGTCTAGGTGAGCAGATCAGACAGCTACGAGAGGTTATTGAGTTACCTCTCATCAACCCAGAGCTCTTCCTTCGTGTTGGTAAGTGTACTTTTGTAGATTGTTCAATCTTTTTGTTTTCAATATGGTAGAAGGAGCAAACATTTAAAAAATTTGCAATGGCTAAACTAAGTTCTAAGTTCTTATACTCTATATTTGAAATTAGCTTTAACACAGTTTAGGCTTCAAAATCTTCAATCTTTATCGTTTACATTACGATAAGGTTTAAAAGTTTCTATGTTAGTGTTTTTACTGCTGTTTAATAATTGATATTTCAGGTATAACCCCTCCTAAAGGATGCCTGCTGTACGGTCCTCCTGGAACAGGAAAAACACTTCTTGCAAGGGCAGTTGCTTCTCAGCTGGAAACAAACTTCTTGAAGATTGTCTCCAGTGCTATTGTTGACAAGTATATTGGTGAAAGTGCCCGATTGATCAGAGAAATGTTTAACTACGCCAGGGACCACCAGCCTTGCATTATTTTCATGGACGAGATCGATGCTATTGGAGGACGTAGGTTTAGTGAGGGTACTAGTGCTGATCGTGAGATCCAGAGAACTTTGATGGAACTTCTTAACCAGATGGATGGATTCGATACTCTTGGTAAAGTAAAGATTATCATGGCTACAAACAGACCAGACACACTGGATCCTGCTCTTCTCAGGCCCGGAAGACTGGATAGAAAGATCGAAATCCCTCTACCTAACGAACTTTCTCGAATGGATATTCTCAAGATTCACTCCTCTAAGATAACAAAACATGGTGAGATCGACTACGAGGCCGTGGTGAAGCTCTCAGACGGTTTCAACGGAGCTGATTTGAGGAACGTGTGTACTGAAGCTGGAATGTTTGCTATCAGAGCTGAGAGAGATTACGTTATACAGGAAGATTTTATGAAGGCTGTAAGGAAGGTCTCGGACACCAAGAAATTGGAGTCTAAACTGGATTACAAGCCTATCTAATTTACGGACTGAATTTTGATACGGACAGTAGAAATCAATGTGTTCCTAGTTTTTGTAGGGGAATTGTGTAATTAGAACTTTTGGGAGTTGATCTTCTGACGATAAGTTTGTTTCACTACACGGAGTTGTATATAAGGTTGGGCTGATCATATTGTATTGTTCCAAATTAATTTGTACGTTCATTGCTGTGACATAAAAAAGTCAATTTGCAATAATTCTGTCTGTGATTTGTGCTCGTACTATGCATTCGACATGCTATTTTTAGTTGTTATCCTTCCTGCCTGTCATAAGTATCATGATGCGTGCAATTGTATTATATACTACTTTTACATCACCTTTTAATTTTATACAATCAGTACATTTGCATCAGTCTAAGTTTTGTAGGTATCATAAAATTGATCAAGTTTGCATATAATTTATAACTAATTTCCTTACTCCAATTGTAGCTGATGGAGTCGGGGAGCGCAGAACAACTCATAACAGTTCACATAAAGACTCCGAAGAACAAGGAGACTGTGCAAACAGCGCACAATGCTACTGTAAAGCAATTTAAGGAGCTGGTCAGCCAGAAGTTCAACGCTCAGCCCGACAAGATATGCCTGATTTTTAGTGGGAAGATTCTGAAAGATGACGAAACTCTTGATAAACTCGATATCAAGGACGGTCTGACGGTATGATCTTTTTCTTATGATTACTGTATTGAATCTTGTAATTGTTGGTGTTATGATACTGTACTTGCGAGAATTCTTAATTTTAGTCACTATACCGATTACACTTTAAAAAGTACCAAAAGTCATTTTAAAACTAAACATCGTCATCATAATTTCTCCCCAGGTGCATTTAGTTATTAAGAACAACAAAGACCCACAACCGAAACAAGAGCCTCCCGCACCCTCCAGTACCCCAACTACAACCTCCGTGTCTGCCCCAGCACCAGCCCCACCTCCTGGACTAGGACCTGGTCTGGGGGACTGGGAGGACTTGCTGGATTGTCTCAAATGTCCGCTCAGAATCCTCAACTATTGGAACAAGCTCAGCAACATCTATTACAGAATCCTGAGCTTATGTCACAGTTGATGAACAGTCCCGCTGTTCAGGGGCTCATGAGTAATCCTGATATCTTCAGAGAGTTCTTCCTCAACAACTCCCAGGTTTGTTAAAATCTTTGTACCCAAAATCCATTTACAGTTCCAGTGAATGTTCTTTTGTTCTTTTCAATCTGTTCGTGGTCATATCTACTTTAAATTAATACCAACTAAATTGTTTGTTTTTTTCAGATGCAAGGTGTGTTAGAAAGAAATCCTGAGATCGGCCACGTCCTCAATAACCCGCAACTGATGCGTCAGGCTATGGAGATTGCACGTAACCCTGCGCTGATGCAGGAGATGATGCGCAATCAGGACGTGGCTCTTAGGAACATCGAGTCTTTACCAGGTTTGAATCATTATATATTATTTTTCACGTTAAAAAAACTTAAAACTTTATGCTATGAGGGAAACCGTTTCACGTTGCATCTGGAATGCTATTTGATTTAAAACCCTATTTGTTTCATTACATATGTACAATAATCTTTTATTTTGTTCAGGAGGTTACAGTGCTCTGCGTAGACTGTACAGTGAAGTTCAAGAGCCCATGATAAGTGCTGCACAGGAAACTTTTCAGCCAGGACAAGGTGGTACACAGGAAGCCAACCCCTTTGCTGGGCTCTTCCCCCCTACCTCTCAGTCCCAACCCGCACCGCGCGTCCCAAGTGTACCGGCTGGTACGGAGAACACTAACCCGCTACCTAACCCCTGGGCTCCACCAACTTCGGGTGCACCGCCTACCTCAACTAGCACCAACACTGCTCCTGGACCAACTCCACCGGGAGGTACAGATTTAACTTTAAATATTTATAAGTAGCAGTTCGTTATATACCTATATATATTATATTTAGATTGGTATGTAAAATTAGTGTTGATCTTCGCGTTCAGTAACGCCATCTTTTAAATTTGACTGTAATTTTTAGTATTTACTTCTAGTCATAGCATTCTTTTCCAAATACGGCATCAAATTCCACATTCCAAGCTCTAAGATTGAGCTATATAAGATTTTTAACACACATTAAAGAACCGTTAAGTTAGGTATTTAAATTAGGCATAATAATTGTAAACTATTTTAACCCCGCTCCTCTCCAGGCCCATCTCTACAAGGACTGTTCCAGAGTCCCGGGCTACAAAACCTGATGAGACAAATGCAGGAGAACCCCCAGCTGCTGCAGAACGCAATGCAGATGCCCCAGATGCAGGAAATGATGCACCAGTTCTCCAGTAACCCTGAGCTGATGAACCTGCTGGTGTCCAGCAACCCTCTCCTGGCTGCTGACCCCAACCTGGCTAACCAGGTCCGGAGTCAGCTCCCAACTATCATGTCTCAGATGCAGAACCCGGAGTTTCAGCAGGCCATGACCAACCCTGAGGTTAGTTTAATTACTTTTAAAGACCTCTGCTGAAGAGTACTGTCAACAGTACTCTCAGTGTGTTAATGAGCTTCGTTTACCACGTGACTGGTAATTGGTTGGAAATTGAGGCATCTAACATATCTTACTGCATGTTATCATGTGTGACGTGTGTGGTTTTAGGAAATAAGAATACATTCCTAGTTATATCATGGTTACGTTGAAATGTATATTGTAGAGATAAACTGTTGAATAATCTAGATGATTAGCAAGTTGACTGATCTAGTACTATTAAACAGGTACTGTCTGCTATGATGCAGATCCAACAAGGAATGCAGAGACTGACCAACGCAGCTCCTGGACTGCTACCTGGAATGGGTATTAACCCTATGGGGAGCACTGCAAGGCCTCCCCCTGCTCCTGGAGCCATGCCAAACAACGCTTATAATATGCAAAACCTCATGTCCCAGGTACATTATTTTACATTCTTACATTCTTTGACCTTTGTTGAAGTATTAAGTTCTGGTGGTTGTCTTTCAAAAGCGGCGGTCTTTGCTTTTATTTTGTATTTAACACTTCAGATCTTATTATTAGCAGATCTGTAAAATGTAACATAGAACATCATGTAAGTGTAAACATTCTTTTCTGAAATAACAATATATTTGAAATGTTACACAAATTCTTCTCGGCAGATGGTAAGTTCGCTGAACAGTGGAGGAGGAGGAGGTCAGCAGCCGGTGGGTGGTGTGAGAGCTGCTCCTCCTAACCCTGAGGTGGCGTACCAAGCTCAGCTGCAGCAACTCACTCAGGTATTATAATATTTCAAATATTTCACATTCAATCCCCCACACCCTTCTCGTGTTATGCACGCTAACTCAACTACAGATCCCATATATTATATGTCGCAAATTAACTCAATTAAAAAATCGGAATTTAATGGATGCATTGTTTCAGATGGGCTTTGTTGATGCACATGCCAACCTTCAAGCTCTTATTTCAACAAATGGTGATTTGAACTCTGCAATAGAGCGTCTCCTCCAACAGAGGGATCAGATGACATGATATGATCCTAGTTTCATTCTGGTTTCAAATAAATCCTATCTCATTGTCTCTGAGTCTGTTGTGTCCTGGTTTGTGATTGTTGCTGCGTTTTTGATTGGAATGTCTTTAAGGGTATATATTATGATATAAACTCTAATAAATATTTATCAAAATTGAAATGTAAAATTTTTTCGTAAATTTTTAGTAACCAGTTCAACTTTTACTAGACTGGATTCTGGATATTGTGATTCGACGATTAATTTGACAGATTAATCATGATACTTGAATACTTTATTGACAGATGATCAGGCTAACATATGGCATTTTTCAAAACGTTTGAGACGTCATTCTTTGAGATCCTCGCTTTCTGGTTATGATACTGTTTTAAAATGACATTCATTAGACTTTGAGGGTGTAACTATCTTTTTGATATTGCAGATAATATCACTTTTAAAAAGGGCTATGCTTTTAGTTTACTTAATAGACATTTACGGTACTGTTGAAGTGTGTTTTTGATTGATCTGGTAGAGGATGAAATCTTAGCAGTACTTTTACGAAGAAATGTTTAAAGAAAAGTTCGTTTGAGGCTTTCGAGTTTAGTTGATGAAATAATTTGTATTAGTAATGTTGCGATTGAGAACTTGAGTTCCAATTTAGTTAACAAAATATGAATAATATATAGATTTTTCACAGATCGTCAAAGTTAAATTCAGACATGATGTTGTGATCCGTCATCTTATTCCACAAAATATTTAAATGTTATTGATTCTGGAATACTCTAAACTTTAAACGCTGTTTTATTTATCTTACAAGAACAAATACTAAAAATCAGCCAAAAAACTAAAAATCAGCCACACATATATTATATAGTCTTAGTTACCGTACCTCTGTCCTCTATACATTGCCTAACAGGGTCAGTGGCCGCATACTAAACACCAAGAAAAGTAGTGTATTTCTGAAGAAGTTATAATTTAAAATTAATTACACGGTGCCACTGCTAAAAGCTGCAGTTTTCTACCGCTTAAATTATCCTCAGTCTCGTCCAATAAAATGCAAACGTCCTGATCAGCTTTCAGACTCCCATAATTTCAATTCTAAGGTTCATTTTATATTACTCCTAATCCGAAAACTCAGGTATGTCAGCTGAAGATAGGGTTGCTGTACAACTCGCTGCTAATTACGATTGTAGACCTCTCAAGGAAAGCTTAGCGAAGTGCCTGAAAGAGGGAGGCGACTGTGCACATGCCAAGCGGTTGTTAGCACATTGCCGCATGTTAGTTGATGATGCACCCGCTGCTTTGAAACCACAAAAACAGAAAGTAACCGGAAAAACTGCGAATCCATCGGATTATCTTGTAGCGGGAAACTGTTCTGAAGCGTTGAAGAGGGTTAGAGATTGCATGGCAAGGAGGCATCAAGACCAAAGATATTGCTCGCAACAAATTGAAGATTACACAACCTGTAAAATGATGCTTATGAACAGGGAGGATAAATGAAAATAGCGGTAATATTAATTGTCTTATCATGTTTAATTTGGTTTCTAAGATTTGGTTTGTAAGATCTGATTTCTAAACGCACAACGCAGTCATAGTATAATAGTAAGTTGTTGCCCAAGCCCATGTTTTCTGTAAAGATTGCCTGTTACAAGTTTAGCAAGATTGCTAATCAGAAAGTCAGACATATTGTGTTGAAAGGTTAATAAAATGAGCCTCAATAACAGTGCACGGCTAAATCAAATCAATGAAAGTGTAATGATACATTTTATGCGAAGTGTGCTTGTAAATTTTCCTTAGTTTTAATTTTGGTATATTCCTGTTAAAAGTGATATATGATAAGCATATTGTGTTTTGATAAAATTCTAACAGGACTGCTTTCGGTATTTGAGACTTGACCACTGTTGGGGAGGTGAAACGAGGTGGCACTACATTAGCACTAAGCCAAGGAATAGTTATATTCTTTGGCCTGATAAGGCATGAATGGAAGATAGTTTAATGATAAATAATGAAGGATGACGTGGTTGCAAAGCAAATCATGCCATTTACGGTCTTTGTTAACACCTAGTCATGCACCTAATAATAATTCGGCATACTCCTCAACAATCTGATTGGACTTCAATTCCTCAGCAATACCTACAATTTTCTTAGGTTCTGGCGAACATTATTTCTCAATGAGTTTGATTAGCTCATCGAACGTTTATGACTCAGGTGCATCTGGGGCAGTCCATGAATATAGTTCATTAAGAGCGATATTACCCAAAAAAGCGATCAAATAGTCCTTCTTTAGTCTTTCTATTTATCCCTCTTATTATCTTCACTCTCTGGTAATTGATCTGATGACGTAAATACGGCAATGTTTGATAATGTATTAAGTCTTTCACCCAATTCTGCACAGTCTGTCTGTCTGCATTTATTTGTAACGTTTTAATTCTCGTCGCCATTGTTTTGGAGCGCACAAATGAAACACAGCAGTTGAAACGATTAAGGAGCGTTGATCTTACATGCTGTAAATATAATGGTTAATATAATTGTCAAAATATAAAACTTTATAAATAGGGGATCTAAACTTTATAACTGGGAGATTAACAATATATAACAGCATTGACACCAGGAACGTGGACAGAAGTGTAGCCCCTCGGCCTCTAAATTTAAATGGTTAACAATATGTCATACAACATGTAATTTATTACAGAGTTGAAATGGTAGAGTGATTTAACGAGGATATATATTTTTAAAAGATTGTGTTCTCTACCTCTTGTAGAGTTGAATTCTTTTTTCAGCTGATAGGTGTTATAAAATCTTAAAGATGGTCAAGTTGTTGAGTTTCGTTACAGCATGCTGCAAAATGAGTCGCACCACCGAACCGTGTTCTCTAACAAGAAATGAGGGGCATTTCTTTTGTGGCAACCGCTCAATTTCTTTCTAAAAATAGATCATTGAAAGCTTTTTCACTGAAACATACTTAATTACTGAACATACTTAAAAGGCTGATTCAGTTTTATGTCGTCTTTTCAAAGTAAAGCCAATTTTGAATATTCCTTCACCTGCAACACGTGATTAGTCGGTGACACAACTCATGTTAGCCCAGTTTAATCGAAGTCTAGTGTGGGTCTGATATCTATGTTTATTCTAGAAATATCTAGCTTTCGCCTTTCGTCCTGATAATTTACTATATATGGCATAATTGGTCATTGTCTAGATACCAATAAAATATTACGTATTCAGATATCATAAACAATTTTGTCTTCTATATCTTCCTCCCCCAGCATTGGTCAAGTCTATCTTTTTGGTATTTTGTATTACCAAACCCGTGATTCGTAATTTATTCAGCCGAAGTAATATTTTGATACCTTAAATTTATGATTTTTAATGATTTTGTTTTAGTTATCTTCTACACCACTTTTCTACACCAGGGTAATCCTCTAAATTATCAAAATCTGTACATCACTGAGTTAACATGGTGTGTTATCTGGATTGTAAGTGTTAAAATGGTTTAGGATACATGTCACATCCGCGAGTTTTGTCCAATGATGAAAAAGAAAAACTAGAAAAAGAGAAGAAAATAAGTGATTTTCATAGGACGAAATTGGAAGCAGAAGCAAAGAAAAACTGGGACCTATTCTACAAGAGAAATTCGGACCATTTCTTCAAAGACAGACATTGGCTGACCAGAGAATTCGAAGCAATCCGCAACCTTCATGAGGTAAGAACCGATCACGTTGCCCCGAATAAAGGAAATAGTGTCGCATCTTTTTTACTAGCAAAGTTTTTGAGCTTTTAATATCAAAAGATCCCACTGTCTCATCCACAGCCGCGCACGTACGATCCAATCGACACAAATTTCCTCAATCTAATTCATCGTAACCCTACGCTGCACGTAGGGTATATGATGACCTCATGACTCGATAGAGTGCATCACATGATCTCTTACTCAGGCCGGTAGCGGAATAGTGTTCGAGGTTGGATGTGGTGTTGGGAACACCATTTATCCCTTGCGAGAGGAGTGTCCTGCCCTTTTCTTTTACGGATGTGACATTTCTCCTAGGGCTGTGGACATTGTGAAGGTTTGCATGTTACAACATAACAATTTGAATCCTGAACTCTTATTCACCCAAAATTAGCTGTTTTTTTCTGCTGTTTGACAAACAAGAACTGTTTCAGAGTCACCCTCAGTACGATTCGGATAAGATATACTGTTTTCCAAGTGATATCACGTGTCAGATCCTCCCCTGACAGATCGCATCCCTCCCGGAAGTGTGGATCTTATCACTCTTATCTACGTTTTGTCAGCTTTATCCCCTGAGACTGTGGCACGTGCTATTCAGAATATAAAACAGGTAAATACTGTAACTAGGGGATATAGTGCTAACTCAGGCCTGAACGATATTTTTACACAGCTGTGAAGGCTCCAAATTTCTAGCTCTAAATTTCTAGCTCTAATAGTGTAAGAGACGTCCGCCAAAACCTCGGATTTCCAGACCGGAAGTCCTAAGTCCCCAATTCTTTCGCAATTTTGAGCTTTTATAGCAGTGTAGACTGTAGACTGTAGTTGCAACATTGTGAATAATAATTTGATCTGCCAAAACGAACTTTCTGGTCTTAATTAAGATGCGCCCGATGACGTCAATCAGAGGAAGAATGATCTAGAAGAGCCTTATAAGTTGTAAACTCTCCGTCCCGTAAAGTTGACATGATGCCAGTTAGTGATGTATGATTTATGTGAATTATAAATCGATTTATTGCCTTATTCCAGCGCTGCATATTACGCTGATTGCGTAATATGTGAACGACCCCTAATGGGCACATTTATTTGGTCGGGCCAGTTATTTCAGGTTATGGAAAATTGTGGCTTGTATACATTCCAGGGGCAGGGGCGCCAGTCTTATCTTGTTCGAGAGTATATTAGCATTAAAGTATAATATAACTGTAAATAAATGGAACATTTTCATTGTTAAGACTCATGGATATCACAATAGTTGCATATTACATATTAAATTGCCCACTAGTATCGACCCTTATTGTAGACTATGAGACCGTCAAGTTCAGTTCTACCAGAGGCCAATAAGGTCAATGCCAGTCGAAATGAAATATAATATATTCTGTTGTTTTCTTAACATAGCAAATTTTAGGTTCTGAAACCTGGTGGAAACGTTATTCTGCGCGACTATGGTTTGTATGATCACGCAATGTTGAGGTTTAAGTCTGGACACAAGATTCAGGAACATTTTTATAAACGGCAAGATGGAACAAGGGCTTACTACTTCACAACTGGTAAATATTATCTTTATTTTAAAGTACAGGGGGGGGGGCAAAGTTGGGTCTTATACCTCCACTGTGTTTTATATTTGAGAGTTGTTGCTTTGCAGATGGCATACTGTACCAACTTGTTCGAGGATTTCGTCACCAAAATTTGAAAATTCGAATATTTTAGACCACGCCCATTCGATATTAAAACACCTATATTGTTCTCTTTGAGCATGCTGGACGCCTAATTTTTTTTCAGAGACGGTAGATTATTAAATGTTGCATCTGATCTGAAAACATGAGGCAAAACAAATTAGAAATGACGAAGTTATCAAGCATTTTATGTATCTCGTTAACAAAATTGACTGGGTGATTATGTGACACCGTGACACGACACTTTAATTGGGCAGCCTTAACGATTCCCATAACGTTTAACGGGGTGGTTAACGGTGTCACCTTATCACGTGATTAAGTATGCCAATCACCTGATCACACGTAATGAATAAACTCGTTATGCTTCGTATCTCGGTCATCTGAGAAGCTACAACTCTCATTCAAATGGCCAAACACAATTCAATTAAATTTGGCTCGATCCGACTATCCAAACTATCAACTTATCAAATAATTGCGAAAATGAACCTTAATTTGAAAAAAATGAACACGAATATTCTTCGATTTGACACATTCCTCGAACCGGTCATGGTGGTAGTAAGTCATACCAGAAAGAATTATTTCAATTGGGCACTCGGTGACTGAGCTATTAAGGCCAACGTTTGCACACTGACTTTTGCCCCCCCCCCCCCCCCCCCCTGTATATCTCAGTTTTTTATTTAAGTTTAAGTTAATCAAACTTCAAAGAATACCATCTTATTCAATGTTAGCTTTACTGGAAATTGATTTAATCCCGGCCTTTATTTCAATTCTGGATTTGGTAATCGCTTCACTGCTCACATATATATATACAGGGTGTTTCAAAAATAATGTCCTGATTTTCAAAAACAATACAATTTTTATAAAGGAGCAAAATGCCCATTATCGATTGCCATTAGTTCATAAAGCTTACAAATTTGATTTTTAAGCTCATTTGTTCCAGCGATTCAACTTTGTTAATTTTTTTGGCCCTGTTCCAAAAATTCTAATTTTGAGAAAAATGTATATCGATATGTTAACCTGCTTATTCGTTTCAGAGGAAATGGCTGCACTTTTCGAAGAAGCGGGATTTGAGGTAGTTTTCAATTACTATGTTCATAAAGAAACTTCTAACAAGAAAGAAGGGATCTCTGTTCCAAGGATATTCGTTCAGTCTCAATTCAGGCTTCTCCTACAACAGAAGTCTTCATAACACGCCATTTTTATTATTTTTCTTATTATTGTGATAGAATACGGTGAATACCAGTCAAAGAAGGACAGTAATCAGTATGATATCGTTATAATCGACTTAAATTATCTGATTTTAAGTTTGAGTATGATTATTTCCGCTTAGAGGACTTTGAGAAATTTGAAATGAGACAGCGAATAGCACAGTGGGTTTCCGATGTTCGAGCTTTTAGAAACGTGCGATCTGTTTACGAAATTATGGGAATCACTTCAGTGAACGATTACATCAGAAATATCTTTATAGACCTAGGTTAGTTACGCTAATTTCTATACTGTACATTGTACAGTGTACAATCTATTGAGAATATAATGATATGACGGTTTACCACGATACTGCTCGATTTTTTAGATGTTAGAATGTTTGTAAATGTTAGACGATAGTCCTGTTAGTGGAAATAAACAAATATCATTGGTGATGCTTGGCTCTAATTTATTCAAACTTTTACAATTGACCGTTTTTATACTTGATTTTTTTTGGTGTTTATGGAGAATGATGATTAATCACTCTACACTCGACTGTCACGTGACTTTTTAACCCGTTCTTTAGCTGGCCCTGAACGACTATTCGAAACCCTAGCCCTCTAATCTGATCCCAATCCCTAACAAAAGCATATCCTGGAATTCTTACCCTAAAGAGAAATAAGACCAACTTCCTTATACGGTCATATCACTTAATCGAGACAGTTTTTCGCCAGGGGAGCATTTTAACCCTATGTCATGGGGGTGATTCGGAATTAGCGTCCGAAAATACATCTATTCAAGTTGGTTCCAACTGTTAGGGGGCCCTTAGAAGATCGAGAGTAGAGTGATTTGGCACGCTCGGTTTAAAGATGAGCCATGGGTAGTGTGTAGTGCCCAATAAGGAGTAGTTAAAACAACTAACAAGTTAGAAATTTCCTAATCGAAAAATAAGTCAGCCCGGCTTTGAAACTGGAGATTAACTGTTAACTAAATTTTAGGATTTTTAACATTTAAAGATAAAAGGTTTGTAAGCAACAAGACACAGCAAGGTGGTACGTCGGCGCGCAATGTACGTCGGCATTACGTCTGTAATTTTCGGCCCAAAAATTATCACGTGACTTGGCCAAACAAATTAAACGGTTTTACATGAACCATAACCCCGAAGCTATCCATACCCCTAACCCGAGCCCTAAACAATCGAATTCGTGTTTAACTAGCCTGTCACGTGACTAAAACAGTTTTTTTCCTATAACTCTCCAGGGAAGCATTTTTACCCTACGTCATGGGGTGTGGGGGGTTATTCGGAATCAGCATCCAAAAATACACCGATTACGATTAATTTCATACCCTAAGGGCCTTTTCACGAGAATTTTCTTTAAATTTTGAATTTGGGCGATCGCGATTTATAGTCACTAGTAAAGTGTGTAGTGGGACTGGGAGCGGTAATATAATGTTGTAAATGTAAAGGTCTGTAATTTTCATAATTATGATGCGGTTGAAATTGAATGACAGGCTGAGTGCCGCCCAGTTTGATTGAAGATGTCAACCCTTCCAGATCGTTCCAGATCGTTCCTCTGCGAATTAACAAAGTAACGATCTCGATGCGAAGTAAAAATGATCGTTTGCGCGGCCTCCAACGCCCAGTAAGCGGTGTGCAAACCGACGACGTCCTCCAATTTCCATTATTGAATTAAGGGCGCAGTTTATATATCCACATAAAGCACACTTGACAGATGTTACTCGTCTAAATTTCTTCGAAGTAGCGCGCGCCGCTTTCTTCTCGAAATGTGGCCCGATGGCACGAGCTACGAAGTAGCGCGCGCCGGGCCAGATAATTAACAATGGTCAAAAAGCACACTCCCCAAATTGCGCGCATTGCAGTAACTTCTTTCAAACTTTATGAATCGAGATCAAATCTTTCGCAATGTATTTAGAATCAATATCATATGCATTTGTTTTTCGTATAACAAGCTAGGCTCAAGAACACTACTATTGACTATCTAGAAAAGCATTAACGGGTGATAATGCTTCAAAATATTAGGACCGTCGACGAGTCCAACTCGGCGCGCGTCCTGATAGGTTGTAAACCTACAAGAAAAGCACAATAGCGTAAGTAGCTTTTGCTTGTCATACGTTGTATGACCCGCCGCGCACGAAGTGCGCGGCTCATCCTGTATCGTCGAAGACGATACAATGAATGACCGTGGGGGTCACCACGTGATACAAGCTTTTGTCGAGATGCCTCGTGAACTAACAATTATTTTAAACGATTCCCTGTTCAATTTTGGTTGGAGCACGTCAACTTGATGCATAATCTAGCAATTGTTATAAAATTAGAACTATTTCATAATTTCATACGTAATGAATTGGTTGTCCATTATCATATCACATATATTAACAAGTTAACCCGGCGCGCCATGTTCAACGTCAAATATTGAACGTATTTGTATCATGTCATGACCCCCATTGTCGTTTCACTAAGTGGCCACGATACAGCCGCGCGGCGCACTCGCGCGGCGCAGGTCTACAACGTATGACAAAAACTGAAAACGTATCAAAAGCTGCATTGCATATTTTGCTTAATTTCTGTAAATATTTAAGCTTTAATTCATAATTAGGGCGCGATTAAATTTTGCATATTGACTGTTCGATCAAGCCTGTCACGCGCGCGCGTCTGACAAAATGTTTATTTGCTCATAATTCGTCAAGAAATTATTTTCATGTTATGTAATAGGTCTTATTCGAAAGACCACAGCTTACTCATAAAACAAAAACGTATAAGCATGTACACATGACACAGAACGTTAAAAATATAATTGCGCCCCTATAATTGATAATTGACGGATGTTACTCGTCTAAATTTCTTCGAAGTAGCGCGCGCCGCTTTCTTCTCGAAATGTTATGGCAAGTGCTACGAAGTAGCGCGCGCCGGGCCAAACCATTAATAATGGTCAAATTGATAATCGATACAAACAATTTTTTAAACTTATAAACGAATTAAATTTAATTTTAAATGCCATTTCAAAGTTTTAAAAATTTCAACAAATCTTAAATCACCAAAATTAAAGATTAGTCAAAAACGTCAAAGCACTAGTCCATCCATGGTAATATAAAAGTCGAGCGTCGTGTACAACTTTGATATTTTCAGCGTTGTTAACATTACTTTATTATTCCATTGTCACCCTAAGATAAGTGGAAATGTGAGTTTCATATTATATATTAAAGTGATAACTACACTGGATATTCTTCCCTCCTCTTTATGTACCTTGTTCGAAGACAAATGTGGGCTTATTGATAAATGCTTAAGGGACGTACTACCCTGAAAACTGTCACTACCAAACGAGACTAATGAAGCTTTTTCTTTGGTACTCTAAACTACCACATTGAATGAGGTGATCAAAACACAAATAGGGCAAGTTTCTATCAGTTTCACAAATTCTCGCTTGCTCCAGAAATGTACTGCTGCATCAAGATGTGATTTTGGCCAATAGTCATGCTTTCATCCACTGTTTCAAATTGCGAACATGTGTGTGATATACACCTCGAATTTCTGTTTAGATTTTAAAGTAAAGTACAAATTTTATGTAATAAAGTTAATCTTTAACTTGGTTTGAATTGCGTTGCTCTAGATTATCATTTTTGATGGGTGGGAAGTCCAGACCATTTCTTCCACGTGAATTAATTTGTAGGTGCCATGTTAATGTGATCAAAAGAAACTCAACTATTAACCAAATTATCTCTGTAACGACCTTGCATTTTAAATTTGTAAAGATTTCACTTAATCTCCACACCTTTTATATATCTAAACTAGTTTAATATTTGCCCACCTGATGTGTTTTGCCCACAAATACTGCGGTCAAGTGCATTGTTGAGTTTGCTGACTATGGTCTAATACTTATTAATTAATTAATTAATAAAGCGTATATTATTGCCCACGTTAAGGGGCCTGTTAATAATTTATTAAATTGTTAGCTATTTTAGATTTAATAATAATAATAATTAATTAATTTGTATGAAGTTGATTTGATATATAACACTAGTTTCAAGACTTTTAGGATTACTGCTTTCCCTTATCAAATGCTATTGAATATTTTCTCATGTAACGAAGTATAAGTATTGAGAATTAATTCAGATTTTTCTATCGTCTATTAAGGAGCTGTTCATAAAAATTCTTCCTACTAAACGGTGTCCGACTTCACTCGGCCCGGTCCTGAAACCCACTCGTTTTTTTCCTATTCTATCCCTGTCAGCCTTTCTTTTACTTCGGTTTCCATCAGATTTCCATCAGATCCAATGTTTAACATCTTCCTATCACTCAAATATTCATCATTTTGGAGTCACTTGCTTGTTTGCTTATGTGCTAGTTCACACGAGCTCAGATGTGTAGAAAAAGTCATATTAACTTCAGTCCCATTGTCTCGCAGGAACATAACTATCCTCGTGCACGAAGGGATGTGACATGCCCTTTACACCTTTATTCATTTAGCAACAGAGTTAATTATGAGAACAGTGCAAGTGCTTAATAGTATAGGGGATAAAATAAAAGTCATCGAACATGCGTTTGGGCTTATTTTCTCAGCCCGATTAAAATCAATGAAACAAGAAATTTTAGTACTTAACTTGCTATTATCAACCATTCGAGGAATATATTGAATCAAACAAGCATAATGGGAATCGTGCTGCCCAACTGTGGTGTCTTAGCACTATCACATGATGACCCAATCAATTTGGTTAATTGATTGATAACTTTGTCGTTTTCGATCTGTTTTGTGCCATCTTCTCAAATGGCATTCCACATTTACTGACCTGTTGCAAAATGATAAAATGGAGATTCTAGCATGTTCGCAAACACAAGTAAAACCAATTCAATTTTCATTGGGTGTGGCTTCTTGAAACCGAATTTTTGAATTCTGGCGACAATCCTCGAATAAGTAGTTACAGTTTACCATCTGCAAAGTTACAGGTCTCGAATATGAAACATGGCCATGTTATAAGGGGGGGGGGGGTGCCACTGTCCATTTTATCCCTGAAAAAAGACAAAAGGGACAAGAGGGACAAAAGGGACAAAAAAAGATAATAGTGACAAAAAAGACGGGGACCAAAAGGACAAAATGGACAAAATGGACAAAAAGGACAGGGACAAACGAGACAAATAGACAGGGACAAAATGGACAGTAAAGAAAATAAGGTTAATTATCCGTTGAAATGCAAAAAATACTTGTTCAGGCACAGTTCCAACAAGCTAATAAGTTGGGTAAATTCAGACAGAACAGTAAAGTCAATATTGGTTATATATCAGCCTTTATAGTGTACTCACTGTTCAAGACAACTTGGTCTAGTCCGATATGCCTGCTCACTGATTCACATTTGACGTTTGAGCTGAACTTGCATTGCAAACAACACTCTAAAAGCAAGAGGGTACAGCGTTATGATATTAAAAGATTATGACTTTTTTGATATCACCACTTGATTAATGGGATTAATGAAATATTGACTGAACCGTGTACACATTTATTTATGTGATGCCGTTGATGAATTCTGCTTATTTAAGTCCCTTCAGTGGTTTCAGTTGATTCTAAGTACAGCAAAACACTGACATGAAAATCTAAATTGTTGATGTCGAGTAGAATATATACATTCTCTACATTTGAGCTTGTCTAATTTTTTGTCTCATTTGTCCAAAATTTGTGTCCCTTTTGTCCCTAGTATTGTCCATTTTGTCCCCAAAACACTGTCCTTCACAAAAAATGTAAAAAAAGACAAAGACAAAATGGACAAAATTGACAGTGGTACCCCCCCCCCCCTATAAGATCTAAACTGAGTGTACTGACTTCTGGCCTCCCCTGTATTTACAGCAGACTTTGAAACTGTTTGTGCCCGAAACATCTTAATGTATCAAATATTCATTTTGTTGTAAATTACATCTTTTATCATACCGATTGTTACAATATTCTAACCATTTAACTTAACTATAGGGATCAAACAAATATGCAAATATTTGTAAAGACCCTCACGGGCAAGACCATCACCCTAGAGGTCGAGCCAAGCGACTCGATCGAAAATGTGAAAGCTAAGATCCAGGACAAAGAGGGAATCCCTCCAGATCAACAGCGTCTCATTTTTGCCGGAAAGCAGCTTGAAGATGGTCGAACCTTGAGTGACTACAACATTCAGAAAGAAAGCACACTCCATTTAGTATTGAGGTAAGAGAAAATTTCTCAATTGATTATTATTCAGGCATATATTTTAAGTGTGTAAGGCATGAATTTCTGTCTTGAACTGATGAATCGCTATAATATCTGTGCCTATCCAGAGTCTGGACTTCGTGGCTGCACTTAGCAGCTTCGAACAAGATTCTGGAACATTAACTTATTCGCAATTAAGAGGATAGTCTAATTCAGATATCCTCCTAGACACGTTTGATACAATTACAAACCATATAAATATTTAATATAATGTGAAATAGTTAAGAAATCGGTATCTAATAACAAATTAATGTGGTGAACTAGAATGTGATCTTTTAAAAGGGTAGCTCCAAATTTAGGGGATGTTTGTACAGGATGTAGACTTAATCTATCCTCATTCATTTAATATCTTCATTATTTAAAACTGTTTGCTTTCAGGCTTCGTGGTGGTGCCAAGAAAAGGAAGAAGAAGCAGTACACTACTCCCAAGAAGAACAAGCATAAGAAGAAGAAGGTCAAGCTCCCCGTCCTCAAGTTCTACAAAGTTGACGAACACGGAAAGGTCACCAGACTGAGGCGTGAATGCCCTGGCGAATCATGCGGTGCTGGAGTTTTCATGGCTTGTCATCCTGACCGACAGTACTGTGGAAAATGCGGCCTTACATTTGTCTGTCAGAAGCAATGATTAGAGTTTTAAATGTTTTTATTTATTGTAACTCGACGATGTTTTATTCGTGACTCTTGCAAACAATAATTGTTTTCAGAAATTGATCTGTTTCTTCATTTGGATGTAACTAAATCTTCAAGTATCGTCTATCTTATCAAATTTAATTTAAGGGAATGTGTATATAAATATATTTGATGCGATCTGATTTCATATGTATCAAAATGTTTTGGTTAACCTGTTATCTTACTTTAGGCAAGTCAAGGTTCTTGCATAACCGGCTCTCATCATGGCGCCCAAACATAATAATATGGTGTTTGACAGCCATTTCCACAAGGATTGGCAAAGGTAAGATTAATTTCTGTCAACTGATATATTGCTATATCCTTTCTATTCCAGAATCTGGACTTTGTGGCTGCATTTGACATCTTACAAAACAAGATTCTGGAATATCAACTCATTCGCAATTAAGAGGATAAACTACTTTAGATATTCTCCTAGACACGTTTAATACAGAACATGTGCCATGAAATAGTAATAATATCGAATCATCACTGGATAATGACTGCTATTGGTTTCAGATACGTCAAAACCTGGTTCAACCAGGCTGGAAAGAAGAAGTCCAGACGAGCAAAGAGATTGGTAAAGGCCCAGGCTATTGCCCCCCGCCCAGTTGCCGGTCTCCTGAGACCAGTGGTTCACTGCCAGACAATCAGATACAACGCCCGAGTCAGGGCTGGCCGAGGATTCACCCTCGACGAGCTTAAGGTAATTTTGGTTGACAGTTATGTTATCGTTGCACCAGAGTTGTGTTTGTGACTACACTATTGTCGTTCACAGTCAAGACTCTGGGAGAAAAACTTATTTCGTTTTTAAAAGAGGGTGACCTATATTCTTCACTCTTCAAAGACGTTTTATACATGTCCTTAACCAAAGCACTCACATACCAGTTATTTTCGACATAACCTTAATTGTACTTAGAATATTATTCTGCAAATAATTTAAAATATTTCGCCTCGTCAGGCAGCTGGTGTCAACAGGAAACAAGCTCTTTCAATCGGAATCGCTGTAGACCACAGGAGGAAGAACAGATCTCAAGAAAGTCTTCAAGCTAATGTTCTCAGACTGAAGGAATACAAGAGCCGACTCATCCTCTTCCCACGAAAGGTTCGTTTTGAAGATTTTCTTTATTCCTATGGAATCTATTCGGTCATAATTAAATTTTGTTTATGTCATGCTGCGGCTGGTTCATCGTTCAGTGTATCTGAGCTGGTTTCACTTCCTTTTAGTTAGAGAAGAGGTTTTTTAGCATATTTTTGGGATTGCAGATTGTAATCATTTTAATTTTCAGGCCGCCAAGCCCAAGAAGGGAGACAGCACACAGGCTGAAATTGATGTAGCCACCCAACTTACTGGCCCAGTTCTGCCAATCGTTCAACAATACGCAGACACCACCGCCCGAGTTATCACTGACGAGGAGAAGAAGGCCTCAGCTTTCCAGACCATGCGAATGTACAAAGCCAATGTACGATTAGTCGGAATCAGAGAAAAGAGAGCTAAGGAAGCCGCTGAAGATGACGGTTTAGGTTCCAAGAAGAAAGCAGCGAAAGCCAAGAAAGCCAAGAAATAATTTATTTCCCCTTTTTATCTATATGACTTGTGATCGTTTTATTCATGTAGAATTTCATCTATGCATTTTAAAGTCCTGTTAAAATATCAATCAAGTTGGTCGCCCCAATATTTAAAATAATTGATAGAATCGCTTTCTACAGTTAACATAATATCTTATATTATATTACTTAATAGGGATGGGTCGCGTCATCCGAGGACAGCGTAAGGGGCCCGGAAGCATCTTCAAAGCCCACGTAAAAAAGAGGAAAGGACAAGTTAAACTTAGAGACCTCGATTATGCGGAGAGGCACGGATATATCAAGGGTGTAGTCAAAGACATCATTCACGACCCCGGTCGTGGAGCACCTCTTGCCAAAGTTTACTTCAGAGATCCCTACAAGTACAGAATCAACAAGGAGCTTATCTGTGCTGTAGAGGGCATGTACACCGGTCAGTTCGTATACTGCGGTAAGAAAGCTACACTCGGAATCGGAAACTGCCTGCCAATTGGACAGCTTCCCGAGGGTACCATCATCTGTAACGTCGAGGCTAAGCCCGGTGACAGAGGTAAGATGGCCCGAGCATCCGGTAACTACGGAACCGTCATCTCACACAACCCTGACACTGGAAAATCCAGGATCAAACTCCCATCTGGTTCCAAGAAGGTTCTAGACTCCAAAGCCCGAGCAGTTGTCGGAATCATCGCTGGAGGTGGACGTATCGACAAGCCTCTCTTGAAGGCTGGCCGAGCTTATCACAAATACAAGGTCAAACGTAACTGCTGGCCCAAGGTTCGTGGTGTGGCTATGAACCCCGTGGAGCATCCTCATGGTGGAGGTAACCACCAGCATATCGGTCATCCTTCAACTGTTCGACGAGATACCAGTTCCGGAGCCAAGGTCGGTCTGATCGCTGCCAGACGAACTGGACGACTGAGGGGAACAAAGAAGGAAACAAAAGATGCTTAAATTTTAATTTATTTTTTATCCAGCCAAAACCTGTTTTATTGCGTTAGATTCTCTGCAAGTTACCAAAATATTGATTTCGTCTCAGCTGGTGGGAAGGCATACAAATTCTTCAAATTTAATCGTCGTACAAATCATATCAATCGCACCCTTGCAAGGGTGCGATTGATATGATTTAAGGCAGTTTTCCTGTCTCGCCTTCCCAACATTGTAGATAGTCTTTGAAAATCATTCCAATGCCATGCTGATTGCTGAAGCATTACATTTACAATTCATTTCATTGTATGAATGTCACTTGATTCTTGAGTATCAACCTCTATACTGAATGATCTCAGGATGTCGGGTGCGGTGAAGCGCTCATATGACGACCAGGCAGATCCAGACAGCCAGAATGCCAAGCACCAGAAAGTAGACAACCGCACCAGAATCAAATTCCTCGTCCCAGTTTACACTGCCGGAGCTATCATAGGGGCTAAAGGGGCCGAAATCAGCAAACTGAAATCAGAGACCCAGACTCAGGTTCATCTTTCCGAGGCCCAGGAGTTCTTCCCGGGTACCAGAGAGCGTATTGTGGTGGTGACGGGAATGGAGGAGAATGTTCTGGACGTATTCAAGAGGATCAGTAATACTCTAAGAACTGAGGAGATTCCCTTCAAAGAGAGCGACCGAGGAGACCGAGCAGAGAAGAGGAGGAAGACCATGAAATGTCTGGTTCCAGCCAGTATTGCCGGTAAAATAGTCGGTAAGAAGGGTGAGACAGTTCAGAAACTTCAAAACGAACATTCAGTAAAGATAGATGTGACTCCCAGCGCTAAAGCAATTCCCGGACTAGATGAGCGAGGAGTAGATATCACAGGGGAAGCTGATAACGTGTTCGAGGCAGGGAAAGAAGTGGTGCAGATGCTGAACGAGGAGCCAGATAAGAGAATGAGCAGCAGTCTGATCTACAGTTCGTTCACTTCGCCAGGCTACAACCAGGGTAGCGGAGGCGGTGGAGGTTACAACATGCAGGGAGGTGGTTACGGTGCTGGTGGAGGCGGCTACGGTGGAGCAGGGGGTTATCAACAAGGCTACCAGCAAGGTTACGGTGGTGGTGGAGGAGGTGGAGGAGGGTATGGTGGGTACCCACAACAAGGTGGATATGGTGGTGGTGGTGGTGGTGGTGGTTATGGAGGGTATGGTGGTGGATATGATGGTGGATATGGTGGACAGCAGAACAGTTACGGTGGGGGTGGCTATGATAATAGTGCTTCAAGAGGGCGTGGTCGAGGCGGCGGTGCTGGTGGTGGAGCGAGGGGTCTGAGGTAGGAGTTGATACATTACTTGACTTGTTGTTCTTTTATTGCTATATTTTGTTATTCGCTTATATTTCAATTTTTACGCTTTTTAGACGAGTACATAGTACAAACAACTGATATATCTTTTAGTCGCAGTTTAACTAATGCATACTTTCAGAACCATCTTTATCTTTTAAAATGTAGGGCCCGGTGACGCATAAAGTTACGTAAAGTTTGACATCAAGTGAGATGAATGATTTTTGTATTATATGCCGCACAGTACAACTTTGTATATTATTTGTTATCACAATATTTCCATACATTCAAGCTATATACCAGCGGGTTTTACTGCAATATCAACAACTTCCGATCACGCTGAGCACCTCGCTAGAAATATATGACAGATAATTTTGATAAAATTTAATGTTAAATGAAGCATCATTAAACTGAGTGATTTGTCTGCTAGTAATAAAAAAGCCCAACATTAATAACCGATATAACCCCTCATATACCGTAATAGATCATGTAGTAGATGTTATCCATAGTTCGATCCTGCATACTTAAACAGACTAAAAAGTCCATTGCTGTCCTAAGCGGCATTACAATAGTGATAACTGCAGCTTCTTTATCCTCAAAAGCGTCATTATCTTCAATGGCCGCTGTTCAAGGCGTTGATTTCCATAAGGTAAATACTAAATAGCTCTCCTTCTAACATTTCTAATTATCTAGACTATGTACTCTGACGTTTAGCTTAATTGTGTATTCATCATTGAATCTTAAGTGCGATTTTATCAACGAATAAATGAACATATTATTTCAGCTGAGCACTGAGACAAAGGTGAAGACGTTACCGGATGGACCTGAAATAACTGCTAAATCTCTGTGGGATGAAACTGGGGCTGTTATACAAATTGTTAGACGGCCTGGATGAAAGTTTTGTCGCGAGGTAATTTTATTCTCATTTCAGGTTTCAAATTGATGTTTTATTTAAGGTAATTTTTTTGACCAGCTTTGCGTGGACCGTATTTTGAAAATTCACCAAACTTTTTCATAAAAATTAGACGAACAAAAGTTGATTTACAAAATTTGATTCATACAAGTTAAGTAGATAAATTAATCCAGCTTTTATCAGGAGGCCCAATGGCTATCCTCGAAAGCTTCACAGTTGGGCGCTGTGAAACTGCACGCTATTGTTAAGGAAGACCTGGATAATGAGATAGAGGAATTTAGGGAGTTCTTTACAGGAGATATTCATCTCGATGAGAAGGTGGGTTTTCAAGTTTCTTAATTCTGAATTGAAGTATTACATGCAATGTTAAGCTAATGGGTTGAATCATAATGTCTAGACAAAAGGGGGAGGGGGAATCATCATCTCAATCCGCTTTTAAAATCCGCTGTATTATTTCTTCTTATGATAGAATCCTTCCTCAGAAAGAATTCTACGGGCCCCATGAGCGAGTGGGAGGAATGTCTGACCTGATGAGTTTCAAGATGATGGGAGCGTATCGTAAGATACAGACCACAGGAAACATGAAGGGAGAAGGTTGGGTTATGGGAGGAGTACTTGTTATCGGTCCTGGAGAGCAAGGAATCCTGTATCAACATATTGAAGCTAAAGTAGCTGAGAGGTGTGATATTGATAAAGTCATGGAGGCGGTCCAGAAGATCAGCCAGTAAGAGGACTATCAGAGACACTTGTAATGCTGTTAAATTTTTTGATTCGGTAAATAATGCTAGTTTGATTTGAGGATTCTGTGCTTTTCCAAGGTACTTCTATTAAGTATGGCAAAGTTTGCCCGACTTGTGTTTTGAGTTTTAATATGACGCTGGAACGGGAAAGTTTCGTACTCCGTTTTGGCTGATATTTCAAACACACGCTTTTACTTTTAGATGTTACCTAGATTGTCACTTTAGACTTTATATATTTAATTACTTGTTGACCAAGTTTAGTTTTTTCTTATGTTTGCAATTTGCATTGGTTCTTTCAATGGTGGTGATTATTAATATTTGTATAATTGTATAATGAGAGGTAAATATGGTTTTATACTTTCAAATTGTATTTTTAATGATCGCTTGATTTCATTTTCTTGCAAATCTGGTCGATTTTATATTTTACCGTATATCTTGGCACTTTATGGGAATGTATGGGTCAGGGTAGGCTGGGCAATCCACAACATGGCAGATCTTTACATATCAGAAAGTGGATGTGGATATTGATGGAATTGTTTCTAATAATGATGGGATCGGTAATTGTGTAAAATAATTAATGGGAAACTGACTATTTAGCGAAAATCGTACCTACCGTTGTGAACGTTAATATTTTGTATATGATTTAATTTCTAATTTATTTTATTACTTAGCACCATTGAGATTTATGGACAACTATTATAACTAACCACCGACTCTTCTAGGAATGAGAAATGTTCGCCGAGTTTGTAGTTCGATTGTCTCCACAACTCTAAAACACCACGCCCCGAGATGCAGTGTTCTAGAACACCCTCTCATCAGATCTTACCAGATAGAAACTCCTTCCATTTCTTGTTTATCAGATAAGATTCAGACTGTAAGAATATCTAGCTTAGTTTCAAGACTGCTAGTGCCTTGATAACGGTTTTACAGGTCAGGGTGGTGAAATCTTGTGCCTTGTTGTCCCGACCTGATCATTTTAAATTCCTTGATAAGCAGAATAAGTATGACACAGTTGTGATAAATATTCAAGTCATTTCTGTTGATAATATTCTGCTTAGAAATGAACAACTTACCTTTAATCGGAAACTTGATCCCCGTACGCAAATTTGCCACGGAACTGGGCCGAATGGTACTTTATGTAAGGCGCAGAACAGTTAACATTAGACCAAGTCCATATGATTGGGCATCTGCGGTAGGTTTTTGAGCGCGCGTTTTATGCGCACTCATTTTCAGTATTTTGTTTCTTGAACAATTGCATCGTAGGATGAAATGAACTTGATGTGAGATGACGAAGGTCCCTAAACTTTGGTTTGTACAGTTGGTTCAGGTTCTCAGCGGAAACTCTAGAGCTCTGCAAGCAACCGCCAGAGATTTTGGGTTAAATACTATCTACCAACCGACCGTGGTTCCAAATACGCCGTCCAATAATGTAGCCCTGGAAAGCCTTGGATCTCTTATTCATGTGCAGCCTCTAGTGATCGCACCTAAGCCCTATCCTTACGCAGACCATCCTTTTCTTGCCCCTAATGGCGTCTTTTACCCTTCTGCCGATAAACTGTCGGACATACACGAGAAGTGTGGTGACACATCACATTTCTTAGACTTTCCTTCTTCCACTCCAGACCCCGTTAAACAAGACATTTTGGCAGAATATAAGGCTATTTTCAAGGATTCCGATGAACAGTGACCTTCGTTAGACTTGATCAGTGCTTAATTTATTCAGTTTGTATTTTCGTATGTATATAATTTGTTAAATATTTCTCCATTTGACTACTATGTGGTATTTTGATCCGTGTTACTGATATCTCATTTATTATGTGAAATTGGTGGTGTTGGCAGATGAACTTGTTGGGGATTGACACTGCCATTTTTCTTTCCCATTCTTTCATTTGAGCATTAGATTTGGGATAGCTCAGCCGTATTAATGCAGCTGAGTCCGAGAGTAATGGATGTAGTAAATGTGCTCATGTTCATCTTCCTTTTATCCTGTTGGATGCTATAAGCTTTGCTAATCAAATCAAATAACCGAATAATCTAACCTTAAATATTATTAGGCAAGGATGCCCAAGGTCAAAAAAGTTAAGAAGACCCCGGCAGTTCCGGCTTACAATGCTGCTAAGTCCGTGAAGAAAACCTCCAACCCCTTGATCGAGAAGCGATCCAAGAACTTCAGCATTGGTGGAGACATCCAGCCCAAGAGAGATCTGAGGAGATTCGTGAAGTGGCCCAAGTATGTGCGTCTCCAACGCCAAAAGAAGACCCTTTACCAGAGACTGAAGGTCCCCCCAAGCGTCAACCAGTTTACCCAGACTTTGGACAAGCAGACCGCCACTAACCTCTTTAAAATCCTGAAGAAGTACAAACCTGAAACAGCTGCTGAGAAGAAGGAGCGTCTGAAGAGCATGGCCGAAGCAAGCAAGACCGAGGCTGGCAAGAAGCCAACTGTTGTTAAGTTTGGACTCAACCACGTCACAGCTCTGATCGAGAAGAAGAAGGCCCAGTTGGTCGTCATCGCTCACGATGTTGACCCTATCGAGCTCGTTGTATGGATGCCCGCTCTCTGCAGAAAGATGAACATCCCTTACTGTATCGTGAAGGGTAAGGCTCGTCTCGGACAGGTTGTTCACAAGAAGACAGCTGCTGTCCTCTGCATCACATCCGTCAAAGCAGAAGACAAGAACGCACTTAACAACCTGGTCGCCTCGGTCACAACTAATTATAACGACAGATTTGATGAAATCAGGAGAACATGGGGTGGTGGCAAATAAATCTTAATTTATATCATTTTATCTTACCATCATGTGTTTCATTGTTTCCTGTCTGTGACCCTGATTATTGTATCAATTCAGCTGGACGTGGTCTCTCAACCAAACACAGTATAAGTTCAAAGGCTAATAAACTTCATATCGATGGTAATTCCCCTGGTTGAGCAAGTCATGCCCAGCTGGGTCTTAGATCATCGCACATAACTACATCTACTTCACCCCTAACAGCATATCTGTTGTCAGGGTTTTGCATGATGTCACAGTAGAATAAACTACAAACGTTTTTGATTGATATGGTTGAATTAAAAATTGGCTGTTATGATTATCAATTAAAGTGCCACACATGTATTGTTCGTTTCATATCATAAATTTCAAGATTTACTGATAATATTGTTAATCAAATTGATGTACAGCCTTCCGAAAAATTTCAAGTTTTAACCGTTAATATTACTTGTAGGCATGCCACCTAAGAAAGCTGCCGTCCCCGCCAAGGGTGGTAAGGACAAGCCCGCAAAGGCCAAGTCCGGAGGAAAGGCCAAGAAGAAGAAGTGGTCAAAAGGAAAATCCAGGGATAAGCTGAATAATGCCCCTCTCTTCGATAAAGCCACCTACGCTAAGTTAGTAGAAGAGGTCCCTAAATACAAACTCATCACACCTTCCATAGTATCAGAGCGACTGAAAGTCAGAGGTTCTCTCGCCAGATTCGGACTGAAGGAGTTGCACGATAAGGGTTTAATCAAGTTGGTGGACAAGCACGGATCCCAAGTTATTTACACCAGAACTTCCAATGAGGGACAAGAAGAATAGTTATTTTGAACAATAATTGTTTTTTATTTATCAGATTCCGCCTTTATTTTGTAATAATTTACGATAAAACTTCTGTCAAATGTGAATAATTAAGGGGCCATCTACTTAAGACGTCGGTAAATAGGGAGGGGGGGGGGTGGTTTCTGAAAATCCGCACGTCCGGAAATTTTGGCAGAATTAACGAAAAAGTCCCATTCATTTCAACTCTGAATTTTATTAACAATGAATTTGAGTTGGTTTTATTTGTACTCTTAAAAGTAGCTGGAAATCCGGGGTGGTTCTGAAAATTCGGACACACCCGATTTTGGCGGACTTCTTAAGTAGATGGCCCCTAATAGCACTACTTGGGATCGAAGGACTACAAACATTCTACAAATTGTGGTGACCAATCTTAGTTTTGGTCACAGTACAGTGTTGCAGAATCCTCGACAATCAGTACTGAAATTACAAGCCATATTGCTTCACGACACCCCACTGTCCAGTTTATCAACGTTGCATGTTGACTAACACTAATAACAGTAACACTGAGTGAAGTATTCTAAACCAAATTCAACATGATTTCTTCTCCAACTTGTTTTGTAAGTCGATAAAACTGGGACTGTCCCGGCATGTTAACGACCTCTAGTCCTGTAAAATCTCACTTCAGTCCTATTGGCGTGACCCAGTCGACAGTAACCAGTCCACTCGTTTGAGCAAGCTAATAAGACATAAGAGAACACTCATCATACTGGCCTTCAGCCCAAGTGTAGCCTAAACGAAGTTGTCTAGTCCAATATGTGTGACCTTCACTGCATACTACCCATACTACTACTACATAAGCTATGTCTGTGACTTTGGCTAATATTTGAACCCACTTAATCTGCCATCGTCGTCGATAGTCACAAAACCTTAAGCCCACCCATTTAATTGTTCATTCGTAATATTAGTGCACACAGTACACACGACACTAATGTTTTTGTCTTCAACATCATCCGTGGGACCACTTTGCACTTGTCAATTGATTCACCCAAAAAGTTAGTGGGCCCGGTGATTGTTTGTATCACGTTGTGACCCACACGGTCGTTTCACTATAGTCCCCCTGACGGTACAGGGGGAGCCTGAGACAAGTGATTGTAGGTTTACAACCTACCAGGACCCGCGCCGAGTTGGACAAATATTTTACGAGTATCACCCGGTGACTGATGCATTAAATTTAATCACACGAGTTGATATATTTGTAATGCTTGGGTCTCGTTGCTGATGCTCCACGTAGTAAATTGATTGATAATGTCAGCCCTTCCAGATGATTGCTCTGAGAAGCATAGCAAAGATCTAGTCAGATTTTCAAAGCGAAGCAAGGATGACAATGCGCGTCAAAGTGTAGTGAGTACTTCATACTTTGCACGTGAAGGCCGGCCTTCACACATTAATGGGTGATACTCGTAAAATATTTGTTCGACGAGTCCAATACAACTCGGCGCGCGTCCTGGTAGGTTATAAACCTACAATTCACAAATTATAGTTGTACTACTTGATGGACAATGTCCACCATGGAGAGATTAATGTATCACGTCGTGACCCCCACGGTCGTTTCACTATGGTGAGGATACAGGTTGACCATTGTTAATGATCTGGCCCGGCGCGCGCTACTTCGTAGCTCGTGCCGTCGGGCCATTTAACATTTAACATTTCGAGAAGAAAGCGGCGCGCGCTACTTCGAAGAAATTTAGACGAGTAACATCCGTCAAGGATATAGGGGGAGCCTCGCAGTCGTGCGCGGCGGGTCATACAACGTATGACAAGGAGAGATTATGCATTACTAGTGTAAGAAAATGTTTTCTTCTTCATTCTTAATCTTAGAATTATAAGCGAACGCCGCCCCAGTTCAAATACAAAAGTTAAGTCCTTGCGCAAATTAAATGTTACATTTTACAATTCCGCCAGAATGCAGAACACCTTTCGCAGTTTTGTATTATAGGTTTCAATTCAACTGCAGTTTGATGAGATTTTGGCGCTGATCGATAAAATTAAAAAATGTCTCGATCACGTGATATGACCGTATAAGGAAGTTAGTCCAATTTCTCGTTAGGGTTAGGGTTTCAGCATATGTTTTTCTTTAAAGGATTGGGTTAGGGTTAGGGTTGGGATCAGATTAGAGGGTTAGGGTTTAGTTTAGTTTAGTTTCGAAAAGTCGTTCAGAACCAGCTAGAGATCGGGTTGAAAAAGTCACGTGACAGTCGAGTGTAGAGTGATTTAATTTTAACGGGTGATACTCGTAAAATATCTGTTCCATATATTGGACCGTCGACGAGTCCAACTCGGCGCGCGTCCTGGTAGGTTATAAACCTACAAAGAGTGATTCATCATCCCCCTTTGGGCTTGAAAGTGATCTAGATCGGTGTATTTTTGGACGCTGATTCCGAATCACCCCCCATGGGCATGACGTAGGTGGTAAAATGCTTCCCTGGAGAGTTATGGGCAAAAAAACCTTCTTCGTCAATGGAATAAGATATGACAATGAACTGCAACTTTTTAGGAGCCTGGTTAGCAAGGAGACTCGCACAAAAGTATTCAAAGAATACTTAGGACGCATGGATGAAAGGATTTTAAGCTTTCGTTCAGAAAATAATTTCGGGGCCCTCAAAGGGGGGTAACAAGAAGGCGTTACAAGTGTTACAAGCCTTCTATAATACAAAATATGTATCACCTCATCAGCCTGCTTAACATGTGCTCGACCTAAAATGTAAACAAACAATTATCACCTCCCCGCCAGTATCCACATCTATAGTCATAGATGGGATGGTCTTTAATATGTTCTCCCGCGATACTCTGGCACTTGGCAGAGGATTTCACAAAAACTGAAACAAAAGTAGGGGTCGTTCACAAATTACGTAATCATTTTTTGGAACATTTTTACCCCCCCCTCCGTAATCAGTTTTACACATAGCTATTGTGTCAAAATTACACTAGCGTAATCATTCGGAACCCCCCTCAGCTGATTACGTAATATGTGAACGACCCCGTAGGATTCTACGGGAACGATGGAGTTTGTTTTTCAAATACTTTATCCGGAGATCAGATCCACAACAGGCGTTCGTATGGATTATTCTTATACTGGACTTCATTTGCTTTGTAGTGATATCAATTTTCTACATCATTATCAACATACTATCTACCAGATCTTCCAATAATGTGACCTCCAGAAGAGCCGATAAACAGACTCGTCAAAGAAACTTACCTGAGGACCCCAGGCTATTATGTTCATTAACATAAATAAAGATTTGGCGGAATGACAGGCTGAGCGCGGCCCAGTAACAAAGAAACAGGCGAATGAACCAACGGATTTCTATCATAATCATAACAGACTTTCTCTGCTGGGTTCCGTTTATCATTATCTGTATGTTTCATTATCTGGAGATCGTTGATGCTACACCATGGTATCCAATCTTCTCTACGGTGATTCTACCCATTAACTCTGTGATTAACCCCTTCCTTTGTAGCGCGATGCACTACTGGGTCGCGCGCGCATCAAATAATGCTTCTCATCAAATAATGCTTCTCTTCGGTAGATCGGCGAGATGCACCACTGTGCCTCACCGAGCTGCGAAGGATTGACATCGTGAATCAACCCCTTCCTCTACAGCGATATTTTCATGAGAAAAGTAAGGATGGTCTTATCCCGGACAAATACTATAATATTTTTGTATCACGTGGTGACCCCCACGGTCGCTTCACTTCGACGCTACAGGGGGAGCCGCGCACTTCGTGCGCGGCGGGTCATACAACGTATGACAATAATATTTGACCTTGCTGCGAGCATGCGGTCTTCAATGGCTATACTACACCGCAAGAGAACATTGAAATGCAGGAGATCTCTCAAATTAACAGATGAGCTTTAGGAGAATAAAATTATCGTTTGCTTTTTGTATGGCTGCCAGTCGCCATTCTTCACTTTTGGAAGCAAGTTGATACATGTTTCGTATCGGCGGCGCGCGCTTCGCGCGCGAAAAGTGGCTTGCAACGTATGTCAAGAAGCAAGTTTACACTTCACATTTGTGCTTATCATTTAATATTACAACTGTTGAAATTTATCGTGCGTGGTGTGCCTGCGGTGAAATGTGCTCACAAATAATTTGAGAACTCAGTGCCAAGACTACATGACACTCCGAAACTTTGAAAATAACACGAGGAAATATGGACAGAACTGAACAAGAGCAACAACCACACTCAAAGACTGAGGAATCAGGAGGACTCTGTATCCCAGGAACCAACTATTTAGCTATCATCGCTCAATAATCGGTTTGGTATCGACCCTACATATTTTGATTTTCCGACTTTAAAGCTGACTTAAGAAACCAGGGAATTAAATTTACCTTCCTAACATTAAATCGTTGATTTTATATCATTTTCCTTTTTTCCCAAAACATTCCAGTACATTGTGCAGAAAGTTGGAGAATACAAATTTTGGAAGCATGTAGGGATTTAGACCTGATATCGACCGTATATACTAAAAATACTCTAGCACAATTGTTATTGCAGTTTTACAGAACTCTAAATGCTTAATGAACACACTTGCAGGTACCACCCGTATTCACACTCAGACCTGAGTTAAGTCATTTTCCGATACGAGATTGGGGACGGGTTTTATAAACAAACAAACAAACAAACAATGTGCTCACAATAATTGGTTACCAAATGATATGTTTACATTTATTTATTACATTTACATTGATCATGGCGAATAAATTTTGTCAATCTAAACAACTGCTGGGCAGTGATTAGTACTACTAATTAACGGCATGATTTACCGGATTATGATTATCTTAGGTATTTTTTATCGAGCGTGCTAAATCACTCTACAGTCGATCTTCGAGATTGTTTTAAAAGGGCCCCCGACGGTTGCAACCAACTTCAATCGATGTATTGAATCACCCCCATGGCATAGGGTTAAAATGCTCCACTGACGAGATATTGGCGAAAAACTGTCTCGATCACGTGATATGACCGTATAAGGAAGTTAGTCTAATTTCTCGTTAGGGTTAGGGTTTCAGCATATAATGTTTTTGTTAAGCATTTGGTTAGGGTTAGGGTTGGGATCAGATTAGAGGGTTAGGGTTTCCAAAAGTTGTTCAGAACCAGCTAGAGAACGGGTTGAAAATGTCACGTGACAGTCGAGTGTAGAGTGATTAATAATCATCTTATATTTATGGAACGTGCATGTTGAAGTATGGCCCGCCTTCCGCACGAGCATTATTTATGAGCTTTCAAAGTAATTAAGGTTGTATGTAACTGCTGCTGATTTTTATAAAATTTATCCTGTACTGATACATTATTATTAATAACTCAGTAGATTGTAGATATCAAAATACACAGTTACTGTTAGTGATACTGTTACGTAATTCAAAATCTCAAAAATATATTTCAGAGTTTTGTACTGTTTTGATGATATAATTGTAATGTTTGGTAAAGTAGTAGTGGTGAAATCAAAATTGTTGGGTGTGCTGTACCAGCACACACACGGAAATTTTACAAAAAGTAAGCCGAAATGACAGGCTGAGCGTTACTGGGCGGCGCTCAGCCTGTCATTCCGCCGAATCTTTATTCGGCGTTATGTTTATGAACATAATAGCCTGGGGTCCCCAGGTAAGCTGAGCGCCGCCCAGTAAGCTGGAGGCCTCCAAATGAGGCCAAGTGCTTAGGTGGACTGTGAAGGCAAAGTTCGAGAGCTCGGCAGCTTTAACATTTTACTGATAATAAAAATGGAGGCTGAACGGGATGATAAGAAAATGGAAGGGAAAAGATCCATTGGATGTCTGGCTCACGTTAAGGAATAAGGAGTAATAGTGATAAAAAACTGACAGACATTGGACATGAGACAAAATCTTCCATAATTCTCGCGTTTTGCACGTGCATACTTTGACCTTCAGTTTCGCTGAAAACTTGGAATATGAGCATTTTATTTTTAGTATATCCTGTTGCTTCATAAGTTGTATATTATAAACATAGCTAATAAATCAGTATCTGGACAGTAAGCACAACGTCACAAAATAACCCGTGAGCTGGTGAAATCAAATGTCATTAAGAATATTGCCCATTGTCCAAAAGCAGGTGTTGTTGCTTATATGTACTCATTTAGGCCAGTTTTTTGCTCGCTGTTGGGTTGGTTATCCCCCCGAGGAGTGCAAGTGCAGCACCAGCGCCAAACTCGTCTGTAGTACCCTAAAGACCTCCCCTTCAGTTTTGGCCTCCTGGATATAATAATCACTGGGTAGACTGCTGCATAGATCAGCAGCAGGGTGAACTCAGCAAATCCTACCTGGACGAGTTCACTTCGTTAAATCGTAGAAAAGTTGTATCTTCGTGAGTGCAGTGTTAATAGTGCCGCTGCTCTGCGGCCAAAAACACGTTACAAATTTAGGGCGGCTGCAAATATAGTTGCTACAAGAATTCAAAATGATATACAAGTAAATAATCGCTTCTACCTGAATTCTTGGTTCCTCGAAAAAGTGATCAGGGTGGTCTTCAACGACAATGGAATGATGAGAGATACTCTTCTCGGACTGACCTCCTCACTCCTCAGATACTTCACTTGAATGACCTCGCAGATGAGGACAGTAAAAGGAAGAATGACAAAGTAAAGGGCGCAGATGATACTCACTATGATGTTGAGACTGAGAGGAAGGTAGCTTTTTGAGCATTTAGAATAACCAGAGGTTTCTCGATAGCACATAGCAACAGCACATAGCAACAGGGTAACACATAGCAACAGGGTAACATATATAGCAACAGGGTAACACATAGCACATAGCAACAGTTATGAGGGTAACACCGGGAATCTGGAATGCGAGTATCAATCCGAGATACACGGTGGCTTTATGCTGTACTCGTGTAATAATAGTGCCAGTGAGACTTGAGAGCATCGGAAAAGTGAAGCAGAGTAATCATCAAGGAAAGTACTCCCACTGCTTTCCTCAAACAGTGGGAGCACATAGTTGAAGTTCATACCGCATATAGTTCATACCGCATATAGTTCATACCGCATATAGTTCATACCGCATATAGTTCATACCGCATATAGTTCATACCGCATATAGTTCATACCGCATATAGTTCATACCGCATATAGTTTATACTGCATATAGTTTATACCGCAAATATAATATAGTGGAGTAGTAGATGTTAGAAGGAAACAGTAAAGCCAAGGGTAAGAAAACAGTAAAGATAAGAAAACAGTAAAGATAAGAAAACAGCAAAGATAAGAAAACAGTAAAGATTCCAGGCTCGTATATTGCTTTTATTCGTAGTGTGATATCTGAGTGTTATACCGTACAGGTAAAAGCACCTGTTACTGAAAATAGGACATTTTGTTGAAGCCAAAAAATGCGACTAACAATGAAGACAATTGTTGAAACATCTGCTGAGCGATTCCAATATATTTAAAAGGTGGGTAAGTGTTGAGGAACGATTGAGGTTTTGGAAGAATTTTCAAGAGGAGCTTTTCTGCCGTCCCCTTGACCGATATTACGCGGTTTTGACTGAAACTTTGACCAGTGACTGATCAGTGAGGTCGGTGAGAATGACACAAGTCGCCACGAAGGTACTGGAACAGTATATCCGGAGAAAACTTAGATGCAATGAAAATTTTGTCCTACCGGTAAGACATATTTGAATTTCAGCTTTCCGCGACCCAAATTTCACTGTTTTGACTGAATTTTTCTTGAATGACCATCTTACAGGGTCAGTGAAGTATATAGGTGGTTTCATTCCCGCCATTCTGAATCAACCATTTGCCATGATAAAAATACTAACATTCAAATATATGTTTCTATATGATTACATATAAATGTATTCTTGTTTAAAATTGTATTGATCCCGTTTGATGCGACAAGGCAAAATGCTCTTATCAGGAAGAATTTACTCAACGTTTCAATGTTACAACATCGTATTCATGACCTCAAATTATTTCTTATATAGTAGTGTTGAAAGTATTAAAAGTTATTATTATTTTTAGGAATGTGTTTTGTACATAAGTCTGTACATTATACCTAATTCGCAATCTCGGTGGCACAAGGAAACCAGGAGAAGACTACGAGAACTTGCAAAATCTGCCATGAGACTCATAAAATAATACTCCAATCCGGATTTTACATTACCTGTAAAGAGTCATCATAAAACAGTCAATTCTTTAAGCTTATTTCTAGGAATGTAAAACAAAACTTATTGCTTTATTGAAAATTTATTGTTTCATTGATGTTATTTGCATTCTAAATCTAATCAGAAGCAAAAGGTTTTTTGTATATAAATCTGTACATTATACTTAATACACAATCTCAGTGGTACAAGGAAACCAGGGGAAGACCACGAGAACTTGCAAAATCTGCCTGAAGACTTTCCCCCTGTTATGTATTTTTGATTGTTATAATCTGGTTGTTATTTGTTCATTTTCATTTTTGAAGGAGCGTTCTCTGATTTTTCATCATGAGGCTCTTCAGCTTTGTTTGTGCGCTGCTATTTGTTATCACACTTTCTGTTGATGCTGAAGCAGATTCTGAACGTCATTACCTTGGTCCTCCAAGAAGACCTCCGAGAAGACAACACGGTATGTGTCATATTTGATATGACTGATTATTCAGTTCAAAATCCAAATTTCGAACCCAGCTTTTTTGCATGTGAATTTAATGAAGTAAATTTATAACTAGATGTTAGAAATGTGAGCATCGTCATAGTTAAATTGCCAAATTGTTACAAATAATTTTTCAGCTCAATGTCCTCCTTCCCATCCACACGTCTACTACAACGGCCAGCACTGTTGTAAATCGAACAAGGAGAAGCACTACAAACCTCAGGGTGCCAAGTGTGACGGCAGTGTGATTCAGAGAGACAGTTTGTGCTGCGCGGGAGACCAGCACAAGCCATGTCCCCATGGAAGATGTCAGAGCTTCCGTCCAAGAAGAGGTGGTCCTCCAAGAAGAAACCTTGGTCCTCCAAGAAGACCTCCGAGAAGACAACACGGTATGTGTCATATTTGATATGACTGATTATTCAGTTCAAAATCCAAATTTCGAACCCAGCTTTTTTGCATGTGAATTTAATGAAGTAAATTTATAATTAGATGTTAGAAATGTGAGCATCTTCATAGTTAAATTGCCAAATTGTTACAAATAATTTTTCAGCTCAATGTCCTCCTTCCCATCCACACGTCTACTACAACGGCCAGCACTGTTGTAAATCGAACAAGGAGAAGCACTACAAACCTCAGGGTGCCAAGTGTGACGGCAGTTTGATTCAGAGAGACAGTTTGTGCTGCGCGGGAGACCAACACAAGCCATGTCCCCATGGAAGATGTCAGAGCTTCCGTCCAAGAAGAGGTGGTCCTCCAAGAAGAAACCTTGGTCCTCCAAGAAGACCTCCGAAAAGACAACACGGTATGTGTCATATTTGATATGACTGATTTGACCAAAACCCATAATCATGGGTAGAGTGAACCGTTGCCAGTGTCTCTCTTTTCCAAACAAAAGGAAATGATATTAATTTGAATAACCGTCCGCAAATGCAAATTGATACCGAGAATGAAATCGGTCGCTCGCTTTTTCCATTCGATCACGGCTTACGAATTTTAATAAAGCTTATTGATTTGAAAAAGCGAGCGACCGATTTCATTCTCGGTATCAATTTGCATTTGCGGACGGTTATTCAAATTAATATCATTTCCTTTTGTTTGGAAAAGAGAGACACTGGCAACGGTTCACTCTACCCATGATTATGGGTTTTGGTCAAATATCATCTCTTTTTGATTATAATGTCAGGATAATTTGCACAGTCGAAACTTCATTAACAATTTCGAAATTTTACCTTTGAAAACATTTCCTTGTGTTTAGGTAGGTATATATGTCGATAACAGATTGAATATGGCACTTTTTACTCATTCAAGTTGGCATTAAATTCATATATAATGCCATTAAATCTCGTGGGAAAGCAGAACATATTCGAAATCACGAATGAGCAAAATTCTCACCTTTCGCACGTGCAAACTTTGAGCGGACGTTGCGTGCGCACACAATATTGAATCACCGTAAATCTTTGCTTAGTGGTATTTTATATATAGTTTGATAAGCATGCAAATTTTCAGAAGATTTCAAAAAGAACGTGGATCACAACGGGACTCCAAAGTTGATAAAAATCGTGAAAATAACAATTTTCAGTGATTTTGGCTATTTTAAATCAATTTGGGCGTGTCCCCACGTGTGCAACTTTTAGATTTTTAACTTTAAAACTAGCCTATAACACAATTTAGACCTTTAGGAAGCACAATTGAGCTCCACAACTCAAGGGATGGCCCAACACCAGAGAATACTAATTCACAACTTTTGTGTTTTTATAAAATTATTCTTCAAAAAAGCACTAACTTCAATAGCGAATATCTTTATGAAGAAGCAAGGTAGGAAAATTTTCCGGTAGATTTTCAGAATGCTTGAACAATTATCTGAGGTGAAAATGTCCTCAGATTTTGAATAAAATTACTCCTTAATGGTTTAAAATAGATTTGAAAAGTTATTATTTTGTCAAAAATCAAGTTTTAAAAACACTTAAATTGATGACGTCATCAAGTAATGATGATGACGATAAATAATTTTTCAATATAATTTAAACTAAAGTATAAACGATTATCTTTAAAACCTGTGGTTGGAAATGACTGTATCTTTTATACTTTTGAATCTACGGACACTTATATGTAGGCTACAATTGACTGCAAAAAGCGTCTATACATATATATATATATGTATATGGACACGTTCATTTGAGTTTGAGGATATTGGTAAACAAAAATAATAGCGTTTTCGACGATAGTGGCTTAATTTTGACATCTATTAACCTAGCATGTTCAGAAGTTCTGAACATTAGCCACGTAACCCATACTCCCATATGCACCGCTCAGAAAGAAAATCTATTGTTGTTAGGCACTATAATGTTTCAAATGTCACATTTTGTGTGACTTAGTTAACTGCAGTTGTCTAATTATCATTCCTTGGTCTGAAATATAGTAAATTAGGTAAATCTTACAATTATGATACAGCATTGGTTAATGGGCACGGATCGAACGGTTACAAGGCAATATTTGGGTAACTTTGTCACACTCATGATACCATACCTCTATTCTACTGTGAGGTGTCCTAAAAACCCTTTCAACTCATTATTTGATGGTTGCTCTACCAATCATAGCCCTAAAATATATCGTTTTGAATAGTTAGCTAATACAAGCACTTGGTTATTGGGAAATGAGGTTAATTCTGTCACAATATATGAAATTTTAAATTTTGGGCGAATTATTTATATTTGATTTTGGTTTGAAAGGCGGGAAAACTTTATATAATGACAATTTAGTTGATGCAAGTTAAGATCAGTTGATGTTTACATTGTCACAAAAAATTATACGAAATCGTAAATAGGTTAAAAACAATGATTATAGAATGAAATAGTCTCTTATAATAACTCTTATAATAACTGATGTGACAAAGTGAACATGTCTTGCCCCTATTTTGAAGATCTATATTCTATACCTCTATTAGAATTCAACATTCTTAAGTTTAACAATTTTAGGTTAAATTTGTCAAAGTCACTAAAAATGTGACAAAATCAACTTTCCCTGCCCCAACAATATCAAGATAGTGTGTTAAAATTGGCATACTAGGATGCTTTATTGCCTATATAAATCAATCCAAACTACAAAATATATGTTAATGTGATGACGATTACCTAACTCTTATAATAACTGATGTGACAAAGTAAACATGTCTTGCCCCTATTTTGAAGGTCTATAACTCTATTAGAATTCAACATTCTTTCAGAAACGATTGGAAGAATATTGTCCAGAACATCAGAGCTCAATTTTAACAATTTTAGATTAATTTGTCAATGACACTGAAAATGTGACAAAATTAACTTTCCCTGCCCCAACAATATCAAGATAGTGCACGTTAAAATTGGCATAGGGTGCTTTATTACAGGTATATTAATCGATCCAAACTACGAAAAATATCTTTTAATCTGATGACGATTACCTAACTCTTATAATAACTGATGTGACAAAGTAAACATGTCTTGCCCCTATTTTGAAGAACTATACCTCTATTAGAATACTATGAAACTTAACCATCAAAAATTTTTCGATAAACTAGTTATTTTGCCAGCAAGGAGCTAACAGAGTTATAATAATTTTTTTGTGACGAAATTATCCTATTTTTGACCATGTTGTGGTAGTTTAATTGTGACACTGTTAACATATTACCACCTGATAATGATTCATGTGACTGGTGCATGGTACTAGCAGTGTTGTTTGATCCATAGTACGTAATATTTAAGGGGTTTAAGCTGGTATATCATTATTTGTTCAATTTCACACATGTTCAGATATCATCAAGATTATGTGACAAAGTAAACTTGGTTGTGCCTTCTGTGTTTTAATTCCTTACCACTATATGATATAATAACAATTCCCAGCACTTTCAGGCCATCAAATAAACCTACACTACTCAGCATTGCTTATCAGGGCGCCCTAAACGTTCATCACATATTTTCTTTAATGTGTGACAGAGTAAACCTGAGTGCACCATCTAACGAAAAAAGTCGTCAAATATGTAGGTTATGGTCATATGTACCCATCCAATCAACTGGACACTCAAAAATTTGGTCAAAAACGGCAGCAAGGGGTCCATATTTACTCCGTCACATGTTTATAGTGTGACAATGTAACCATTTCCGTGCCGGCCGTATTTAAGCGATATCTTATCACCTGATTAAGATATCGTTATGTGACAAAGTTAGCCTAGAGGATGATACGATTATCCTAACCATCAAGGGTTTATGTAATTTCATAGTGTGACAAATTCAACTACACTGTGCCATTTAATAGGGTCACTTATATTTACCAATATCCTCAAACTCAAATGAACGTGTCCATAACATGCTGGCGCGAATTTTGCGCAAATTTTTTGAAAACCTCCACATAACTATTTCTTATTCCTGTCATCTTTAACATTGAATTAGAATGTTTTGAGCTTAAATATACCTGCTGAACTACTTTCGATGAGTAATGCCTGGAAAACAATAAAGGGGATATAATAGTATAGGGGGTAAATAGTGTTGTGAATATAAGGGCAACGGTAATGCTTGCCAGCATTGTGATTATTCAGTTCAAAATCCAAATTTCGAACACAGCTTTTTAGCATGTGAATTTAATGAAGTAAATTTATAACAAGATGTTAGAAATGTGAGCATCTTCATAGTTAAATTGCCAACAAATACTTTATTGCGTCAATACTCAATATTTATTGATACAGGGTGGGCCAAAAGTAGTGTACAATATACGTTGGCCTTAATAGCTCAGTCACTGAGTGCCCAATTGAAATAATTTTTTCTGGTATGACTTACTACCACCACTGGTTCGAGGAATTTGTCAAATAGAAAAATATTCGAGTTCATTTTTTTTCAAATGAACGTTCATTTTTGCATTTATTTGATAGTTTGGATAGTCGGATTGAGCCAAATTTTATTAAATTGTGTTTGGCCATTTGAATAACGTTTGTCCTGAAAAAAATTAGAACTGTAGCTTCTCAGATGACCGAGATATGATCAAAAATCAATAGTTCCCACAGTCAGACAACGAATGAGTTAAAAAGTTCCAACAAAATCTTTATAACATCATTGGTGAAACATTTTCGGAAATTTTCAGTACCTAATAAAGATAAGGGTTAATACTCCAATTAAATCAGAAAATTATAATTAAAACGAAAGGATGTTAGGTAAAAAGAAGTCAAACTCTTAAAAAGGGAATGGGAAGCACTCGGGTATGGGGGGTTGTGAGGCCCCAACTAGTAGAAAAATACTAGTCCCTGCATTAATATATATAAGGGTGAAATAATTTAAGGACCATTATCAAAAGTTTTATTTTCAAATAAAAGTGGCATACCAAAAGGATCACATGAATTAATACCATAAGGTTTCAAAGTTCTTAGTTTTTGTATAAGATATAAGACCGAGATATGAAGCATAACGAGTTTATTTATTACGTGTGATCAGGTGATTGGTTTACCTACTCACGTGATTAGGTGACCCCGTTAACCACCCCGTTGCACATTATTGTTACAAATAATTTTTCAGCTCAATGTCCTCCTTCCCATCCACACGTCTACTACAACGGCCAGCACTGTTGTAAATCGAACAAGGAGAAGCACTACAAACCTCAGGGTGCCAAGTGTGACGGCAGTGTGATTCAGAGAGACAGTTTGTGCTGCGCGGGAGACCAACACAAGCCATGTCCCCATGGAAGATGTCAGAGCTTCCGCGGTAAGGTTGATTAGTGATTACGGGGGGGGGGGGGGGGGGGGGGGGGGGTTTGGTCGTTGATTAAGTAATCACATAATCACCCAGTCAATTTTGTTAACGAGATAAATAAAATGCTTGATAACTTCGTCATCTCTAATACTTTATTCCCTCATGAATTCAACTTTCAGGACGTCAAGGGAATATGAATTCCTTGAACTCAAAGACTGAAGGTGATTAAAATTGAAAAGTTATAAATCGGCTTTATTCGTTTTTCTATTGTTAATGCAGAAAAAACCAATTTCATGATCACGAAGTCATTGTCAACTTATGAATATGATGATGGTTTATGATTTTGAATTAATATCCGAATGACCAGTTACATTCATCTGCAGTTAAAAAAACCACCTACATATTATTATTATTATAAAACAGGATCTTACCGACAAAAATGATTCATAAAAATACCTTAATGCGGTAAACTGTACCCTTGAAACAGATTTTCCCAACATCTGTTGCATGCAGCTATATCTTTGATTTCGTTTAATTCATGCAAGTTATCTATGTGCAGATTTCTACTACTTAAATCACTTCTTAAAATAGACAACAAGTTCATTCTAGGTCTCCCCAATCTTCCATTAAATGAATTATCTGATTCAATAGCAAAAGAGAAAGCCGTTTGGGCTGGGGTGTTCTCCATACTCCTTAGAATGTGTCCGAACATCTTCCACAGCTGGTGTTAGATACGCTTGGATAACTTTTCAACTATGCACCTTTCATACAATGCTTTGTTGCTTATCGTACCTTTAGGCCATTTGATGTTTAAAATGGACCTCAGGTGTCTACGATGAAGTGTGTCTATTTTCTCCATGGTTACTTTCTTAAAACTCCAACTGTTTGAGTTATAAATCAATACAGATACAACTTGAGCATCAAGTTGTGTCACCTACATATGATAATTCAAATTGTTTCAGCCCGTGTTGAAAATAACGTAGACTACTGGGGTGCTGACATCAGGAACTTCCGAAGCAAGGGTCTCCGAGATTGTTACAACAACTGTAGAAAACAGAAAGGTTGTGCCTCTTTCACAATGCGCAAGAGAGACAGTTACTGTTGGTTGAAGAAGAAACACAACGGAGCCAGGAGGTTGACCAATAAAAGACATCTCTTAAGTGCTAACATGGTTCTAGCAAAACGTACTGGCAATGCCAACTCTCTGAACTCAAGGACTGAAGGTGTTTAAAATTAAAGAGTTATAAATCGGCTTTATTCATTTTCAAATGTTAAGGAAAAAAAAAAACAATTTCATCATCAAGAAGTCAATTTATCAATATGATGAGCATTTATGATCTTGAACTAAGATCTGAAATTAGTCCAGTTATATTCTATCTACAGTTGTTATAAGCCGCCTTGATATGATAACTTAATTTGTTTCAGCCCGTGTTGAAAATAACGTAGACTACTGGGGTGCTGACATCAGGAACTTCCGAAGCAAGGGTCTCCGAGATTGTTACAACAACTGTAGAAAACAGAAAGGTTGTGCCTCTTTCACAATGCGCAAGAGAGACAGTTACTGTTGGTTGAAGAAGAAACACAACGGAGCCAGGAGGTTGACCAATAAAAGACATCTCTTAAGTGCTAACATGGTTCTAGCAAAACGTACTGGCAATGCCAACTCTCTGAACTCAAGGACTGAAGGTGTTTAAAATTAAAGAGTTATAAATCGGCTTTATTCATTTTCAAATGTTAAGGAAAAAAAAACAATTTCATCATCAAGAAGTCAATTTATCAATATGATGAGCATTTATGATCTTGAACTAAGATCTGAAATTAGTCCAGTTATATTTTATCTACAGTTGTTATAAGCCGCCTTGATATGATAACTTAATTTGTTTCAGCCCGTGTTGAAAATAACGTAGACTACTGGGGTGCTGACATCAGGAACTTCCGAAGCAAGGGTCTCCGAGATTGTTACAACAACTGTAGAAAACAGAAAGGTTGTGCCTCTTTCACAATGCGCAAGAGAGACAGTTACTGTTGGTTGAAGAAGAAACACAACGGAGCCAGGAGGTTGACCAATAAAAGACATCTCTTGAGTGCTAACATGGTTCTAGCAAAACGTACTGGCAATGCCAACTCTCTGAACTCAAGGACTGAAGGTGTTTAAAATTAAAGAGTTATAAATCGGCTTTATTCATTTTCAATTGTTAAGAAAAAAAAACAATTTCATCGTCAAGAAGTCAATTTATCAATATGATGACCATTTATGATCTTGAACTAAGATCTGAAATTAGTCTAGTTATATTCTATCTACAGTTGTTATAAGCCGCCTTGATATGATAACTTAATTTGTTTCAGCCCGTGTTGAAAATAACGTAGACTACTGGGGTGCTGACATCAGGAACTTCCGAAGCAAGGGTCTCCGAGATTGTTACAACAACTGTAGAAAACAGAAAGGTTGTGCCTCTTTCACAATGCGCAAGAGAGACAGTTACTGTTGGTTGAAGAAGAAACACAACGGAGCCAGGAGGTTGACCAATAAAAGACATCTCTTAAGTGCTAACATGGTTCTAGCAAAACGTACTGGCAATGCCAACTCTCTGAACTCAAGGACTGAAGGTGTTTAAAATTAAAGAGTTATAAATCGGCTTTATTCATTTTCAAATGTTAAGGAAAAAAAAAAACAATTTCATCATCAAGAAGTCAATTTATCAATATGATGACCATTTATGATCTTGAACTAAGATCTGAAATTAGTCCAGTTATATTCTATCTACAGTTGTTATAAGCCGCCTTGATATGATAACTTAATTTGTTTCAGCCCGTGTTGAAAATAACGTAGACTACTGGGGTGCTGACATCAGGAACTTCCGAAGCAAGGGTCTCCGAGATTGTTACAACAACTGTAGAAAACAGAAAGGTTGTGCCTCTTTCACAATGCGCAAGAGAGACAGTTACTGTTGGTTGAAGAAGAAACACAACGGAGCCAGGAGGTTGACCAATAAAAGACATCTCTTGAGTGCTAACATGGTTCTAGCAAAACGTACTGGCAATGCCAACTCTCTGAACTCAAGGACTGAAGGTGTTTAAAATTAAAGAGTTATAAATCGGCTTTATTCATTTTCAATTGTTAAGAAAAAAGAACAATTTCATCGTCAAGAAGTCAATTTATCAATATGATGACCATTTATGATCTTGAACTAAGATCTGAAATTAGATTAGTTATATTCTATCTACAGTTGTTATAAGCCGCCTTGATATGATAACTTAATTTGTTTCAGCCCGTGTTGAAAATAACGTAGACTACTGGGGTGCTGACATCAGGAACTTCCGAAGCAAGGGTCTCCGAGATTGTTACAACAACTGTAGAAAACAGAAAGGTTGTGCCTCTTTCACAATGCGCAAGAGAGACAGTTACTGTTGGTTGAAGAAGAAACACAACGGAGCTAGGAGGTTGACCAATAAAAGACATCTCTTGAGTGCTAACATGGTTCTAGCAAAACGTACTGGCAATGCCAACTCTCTGAACTCAAGGACTGAAGGTGTTTAAAATTAAAGAGTTATAAATCGGCTTTATTCATTTTCAATTGTTAAGAAAAAAAAACAATTTCATCATCAAGAAGTCAATTTATCAATATGATGACCTTTATGATCTTGAACTAAGATCTGAAATTAGTCTAGTTATATTCTATCTACAGTTGTTAATTGTTATAAGCCGCCTTGATATGATAACCTAATTTGTTTCAGCCCGTGTTGAAAATAACGTAGACTACTGGGGTGCTGACATCAGGAGCTTCCGAAGCAAGGGTCTCAGAGATTGTTACAACAACTGTAGAAAACAGAAAGGTTGCGCCTCTTTCACCATGCGCAAGAAAGACAGTTACTGTTGGTTGAAGAAGAAACACAACGGAGCCAGGAGGTTGACCGGTAAAGGACATCTCTTGAGTGCTAACATGGTTCTAGCAAAACGTACTGGCAATTCCAACTCTCTGAACTCAAAGACTGAAGGTGATTAAAATTTGAAATTTATAAATCAGCTTTATTCATTTTCAATTGTTAAGAAAAAAACCAATTTAACCATCATGAAGTCAACTTATCAATATGATGACGAATGACGATTTATAATCTTGAACTAAGATATGAAATTAGTCCAATTATATTCCATCTTTGAAACCTGGTGTTGAGCCACCCGCAAGGCTTATTACAGCACTCCAAGAGGGAGTTACAAGACGTTCAGATGTTTACCTTGCTGACACATTTTTACGCTCATTGGAACGTGAATTTTGTGGGGATCTACTTATCGACTCTGGAGATGCACTTAACTGGTTAGACGGCATCAACAGTTCATTTGATCACAATACTAAACGCCGGCTCAGAAGCTTTGCTTTTGACTACAAGGCATTATACGATTCTCTTAAACCCGATTTGGCGATGGAAGCCCTAACTGTTGCTATGACTGAATGTCGAACGGAATGGAGTGAGGAGTTCAAACAATGGATCCTTGCCCTCGTAGACCTCAGCTTCAGAGCTTCTATTGGCCAATTTGAAGGTGATTGCTACCAACAACTAGTCGGAATACCAACGGGAGGAAGCCTCTGTGTACAAATTGCGAATATAGCAGTTTACTATTACATGAGAAAAGTAGTATATTCTGATGAACACTTGATGAAAAACGTGTCAACAGTAAAAAGATACATAGACGATGGAGCGGGTTTTTTTGATGGAACAAAAAGACAGTTTTCAGAATTTATCTCTAATGTCAACTCGAGACTCAGTAGTACTGTAGGTCTTAATATAGATGAGTTCAGCATCGAAGACCCTGGAGGATTTACTTGTTTCCTCGACATACAATTTACATTTGACGTCGATGGAAACCTCCAGACTGACCTGTATGTAAAGGAAACTGATTCTAGGTCTTAACTATACTTTGGATCCACCCATCCTAACCACGTCTACAGCAGCATCATCTATTCCCAATGTCTCCGTCTCCGCCGTATCATCAATGACAATGATAGGTTAGCCCTAAGAATCGACGAGCTGAAAGAGTGCTTTTCGAACTCAAACTACCCGAAAAAGATGATCAACAACATCTCTTCGAAGGTGAAAACATTCGAACGCAGGCTCCCCACCTGCAGGGATACCTCGAACAGTTCTATAATGCTCCCTGTGTCCCCTGATAACACAATACGTGTTATCTCCACCTTCGGAGGTGACGCGGCACTGATAGACGTAATTGAAAAGTTTGAGTCCACCATAGAGACTTCTCCGAGTTTGTCGTCTACCTCTAACACCGACACGACAAGTACAACGGAGACCTCCAACAAGGATAGAAACACCGGCAAAAGACTATTCAGTTATGTTAAACGATCAGGCGCATCTTTGCGGAGAAGACTCCTCAACCCACAATTGCACGCAGAGAATAACACTATAACAAAAACAGAACCTTGCCATCAAAGAAATTGTAAGTGTTGTGCAATGATAGGAAGTGAAAAGTGTATTAATGGAGTCAAGATAAGACAAGCTCCAGGGACCTGTTCTAGCTACAACATAGTCTATATATTCATTTGTAAATTATGTCCATCTCCTTTCTGCTATGATGGACGTACCATTAGGACTTTGCATGAAAGAGTAACCGAACATAGAGCTAACTATTATAAATTATTGAAAGACCCTTCCTTAAAACTTAGTGATGATTTTTTATCTGATGATAGTGACACCTATAGTTTAGCAGCTCACCTTATAGACTCACATAACCTTTCCAATAGACCTGATTTTGATGCTTCTTATAATGTTTTTATCCTAAAGAATTCTAGTCCTAGTAATTTAGAAGTTAACGAACATCTACTTATACAAAAACTCAGAACTTTGAAACCATATGGTATTAATTCATGTGATCCTTTTGGTATGCCACTTTTATTTGAAAATAAAACTTTTGACAATGGTCCTTAAATTATTTCACCCTTAATGCAGGGACTAGTATATTTTTCCGACTAGTTGGGGCCTCACAACCCCCCATACCCGAGTGCTTCCCATTCCATTTTTGAGAGTTTGGCTTCTTTTTACAGCTAACATCCTTTAGTTCAATTTATAATTTTCTGATATAATTGGAGTATTAACCCTTATCTTTATTAGGTACTGAAGATGTCCGAAAATGTTTTACCAATGATGTTATAAAGATTTTGTTGGAATTTTTAAACTCATTCGTTGTCTGACTGTGGGAACTATTGATTCTGTATATTCCATCTACAGTTGATATGAACTGCATTGATATGATAACCTAATTTGTTTCAGCCCGTGTTGAAAATAACGTAGACTACTGGGGTGCTGACATCAGGAGCTTCCGAAGCAAGGGTCTCCGAGATTGTTACAACAACTGTAGAAAACAGAAAGGTTGCGCCTCTTTCACAATGCGTAAGAAAGACAGTTACTGTTGGTTGAAGAAGAAACACAACGGAGCCAGGAGGAAGACCGGTAAAGGACATCTCTTGAGTGCTAACATGGTTCTAGCAAAACGTACTGGCAATGCCAACTCTCTGAACTCAAAGACTGAAGGTGATTAAAATTTAAAATTTATAAATCAGCTTTATTCATTTTCAATTGTTAAGAAAAAAACCAATTTCACGATCATGAAGTCAATTTATCGATATGATGACGAATGACGATTTATAATCTTGAACTAAGATATGAAATTAGTCCAATTATATTCCATCTACAGTTGTTATGAACTGCATTGATATGATAACCTAATTTGTTTCAGCCCGTGTTGAAAATAACGTAGACTACTGGGGTGCTGACATCAGGAGCTTCCGAAGCAAGGGTCTCCGAGATTGTTACAACAACTGTAGAAAACAGAAAGGTTGCGCCTCTTTCACAATGCGCAAGAAAGACAGTTACTGTTGGTTGAAGAAGAAACACAACGGAGCCAGGAGGTTGACCGGTAAAGGACATCTCTTGAGTGCTAACATGGTTCTAGCAAAACGTACTGGCAATGCCAACTCTCTGAACTCAAAGACTGAAGGTGGTTAAAATTGAAGAGTTATAAATCGGTTTTATTCTTTTTCTATTGCTATGAAAATTGTTATGTTCACCATCACGAAGTAAACTTATCAATATTGTGATCATTTATAATCTTGAACTAAGATATGAAATTAGTCCAATTATATTCCATCTACAGTTGTTATGAACTGCATTGATATGATAACCTAATTTGTTTCAGCCCGTGTTGAAAATAACGTAGACTACTGGGGTGCTGACATCAGGAGCTTCCGAAGCAAGGGTCTCCGAGATTGTTACAACAACTGTAGAAAACAGAAAGGTTGCGCCTCTTTCACAATGCGCAAGAAAGACAGTTACTGTTGGTTGAAGAAGAAACACAACGGAGCCAGGAGGTTGACCGGTAAAGGACATCTCTTGAGTGCTAACATGGTTCTAGCAAAACGTACTGGCAATTCCAACTCTCTGAACTCAAAGACTGAAGGTGATTAAAATTTAAAATTTATAAATCAGCTTTATTCATTTTCAATTGTTAAGAAAAAAACCAATTTCATGATCATGAAGTCAACTTATCAATATGATGACGAATGACGATTTATAATCTTGAACTAAGATATGAAATTAGTCCAATTATATTCCATCTACAGTTGTTATGAACTGCATTGATATGATAACCTAATTTGTTTCAGCCCGTGTTGAAAATAACGTAGACTACTGGGGTGCTGACATCAGGAGCTTCCGAAGCAAGGGTCTCCGAGATTGTTACAACAACTGTAGAAAACAGAAAGGTTGCGCCTCTTTCACAATGCGTAAGAAAGACAGTTACTGTTGGTTGAAGAAGAAACACAACGGAGCCAGGAGGAAGACCGGTAAAGGACATCTCTTGAGTGCTAACATGGTTCTAGCAAAACGTACTGGCAATGCCAACTCTCTGAACTCAAGGACTGAAGGTGATTAAAATTTAAAATTTATAAATCAGCTTTATTCATTTTCAATTGTTAAGAAAAAAACCAATTTCACGATCATGAAGTCAACTTATCAATATGCTGACGAATGACGATTTATAATCTTGAACTAAGATATGAAATTAGTCCAATTATATTCCATCTACAGTTGTTATGAACCGCATTGATATGATAACCTAATTTGTTTCAGCCCGTGTTGAAAATAACGTAGACTACTGGGGTGCTGACATCAGGAGCTTCCGAAGCAAGGGTCTCCGAGATTGTTACAACAACTGTAGAAAACAGAAAGGTTGCGCCTCTTTCACAATGCGCAAGAAAGAAAGTTACTGTTGGTTGAAGAAGAAACACAACGGAGCCAGGAGGTTGACCGGTAAAGGACATCTCTTGAGTGCTAACATGGTTCTAGCAAAACGTACTGGCAATGCCAACTCTCTGAACTCAAGGACTGAAGGTGATTAAAATTTAAAATTTATAAATCAGCTTTATTCATTTTCAATTGTTAAGAAAAAAACCAATTTCACGATCATGAAGTCAACTTATCAATATGCTGACGAATGACGATTTATAATCTTGAACTAAGATATGAAATTAGTCCAATTATATTCCATCTACAGTTGTTATGAACCGCATTGATATGATAACCTAATTTGTTTCAGCCCGTGTTGAAAATAACGTAGACTACTGGGGTGCTGACATCAGGAGCTTCCGAAGCAAGGGTCTCCGAGATTGTTACAACAACTGTAGAAAACAGAAAGGTTGCGCCTCTTTCACAATGCGCAAGAAAGACAGTTACTGTTGGTTGAAGAAGAAACACAACGGAGCCAGGAGGTTGACCGGTAAAGGACATCTCTTGAGTGCTAACATGGTTCTAGCAAAACGTACTGGCAATGCCAACTCTCTGAACTCAAAGACTGAAGGTGATTAAAATTTAAAATTTATAAATCAGCTTTATTCATTTTCAATTGTTAAGAAAAAAACCAATTTCATGATCATGAAGTCAACTTATCAATATGCTGACGAATGACGATTTATAATCTTGAACTAAGATATGAAATTAGTCCAATTATATTCCATCTACAGTTGTTATGAACCGCCTTGATATGATAACCTAATTTGTTTCAGCCCGTGTTGAAAATAACGTAGACTACTGGGGTGCTGACATCAGGAGCTTCCGAAGCAAGGGTCTCCGAGATTGTTACAACAACTGTAGAAAACAGAAAGGTTGCGCCTCTTTCACAATGCGCAAGAAAGACAGTTACTGTTGGTTGAAGAAGAAACACAACGGAGCCAGGAGGTTGACCGGTAAAGGACATCTCTTGAGTGCTAACATGGTTCTAGCAAAACGTACTGGCAATGCCAACTCTCTGAACTCAAAGACTGAAGGTGATTAAAATTTAAAATTTATAAATCAGCTTTATTCATTTTCAATTGTTAAGAAAAAAACCAATTTCACGATCATGAAGTCAACTTATCAATATGCTGACGAATGACGATTTATAATCTTGAACTAAGATATGAAATTAGTCCAATTATATTCCATCTACAGTTGTTATGAACCGCATTGATATGATAACCTAATTTGTTTCAGCCCGTGTTGAAAATAACGTAGACTACTGGGGTGCTGACATCAGGAGCTTCCGAAGCAAGGGTCTCCGAGATTGTTACAACAACTGTAGAAAACAGAAAGGTTGCGCCTCTTTCACAATGCGCAAGAAAGACAGTTACTGTTGGTTGAAGAAGAAACACAACGGAGCCAGGAGGTTGACCGGTAAAGGACATCTCTTGAGTGCTAACATGGTTCTAGCAAAACGTACTGGCAATGCCAACTCTCTGAACTCAAAGACTGAAGGTGATTAAAATTTAAAATTTATAAATCAGCTTTATTCATTTTCAATTGTTAAGAAAAAAACCAATTTCACGATCATGAAGTCAACTTATCAATATGCTGACGAATGACGATTTATAATCTTGAACTAAGATATGAAATTAGTCCAATTATATTCCATCTACAGTTGTTATGAACCGCATTGATATGATAACCTAATTTGTTTCAGCCCGTGTTGAAAATAACGTAGACTACTGGGGTGCTGACATCAGGAGCTTCCGAAGCAAGGGTCTCCGAGATTGTTACAACAACTGTAGAAAACAGAAAGGTTGCGCCTCTTTCACAATGCGTAAGAAAGACAGTTACTGTTGGTTGAAGAAGAAACACAACGGAGCCAGGAGGAAGACCGGTAAAGGACATCTCTTGAGTGCTAACATGGTTCTAGCAAAACTTACTGGCAATGCCAACTCTCTGAACTCAAAGACTGAAGGTGATTAAAATTGAAGAGTTATAAATCGGTTTTATTCTTTTCCTATTGCTATGAAAAAACAAATTTCACGATCATGAAGTCAACTTATCAATATAATGACGAATGACGATTTATAATCTTGAACTAAGATATGAAATTAGTCCAATTATATTCCATCTACAGTTGTTATGAACTGCATTGATATGATAACCTAATTTGTTTCAGCCCGTGTTGAAAATAACGTAGACTACTGGGGTGCTGACATCAGGAGCTTCCGAAGCAAGGGTCTCCGAGATTGTTACAACAACTGTAGAAAACAGAAAGGTTGCGCCTCTTTCACAATGCGCAAGAAAGACAGTTACTGTTGGTTGAAGAAGAAACACAACGGAGCCAGGAGGTTGACCGGTAAAGGACATCTCTTGAGTGCTAACATGGTTCTAGCAAAACGTACTGGCAATTCCAACTCTCTAAACTCAAAGACTGAAGGTGATTAAAATTTAAAATTTATAAATCAGCTTTATTCATTTTCAATTGTTAAGAAAAAAACCAATTTCATGATCATGAAGTCAACTTATCAATATGATGACGAATGACGATTTATAATCTTGAACTAAGATATGAAATTAGTCCAATTATATTCCATCTACAGTTGTTATGAACAGCATTGATATGATAACCTAATTTGTTTCAGCCCGTGTTGAAAATAACGTAGACTACTGGGGTGCTGACATCAGGAGCTTCCGAAGCAAGGGTCTCCGAGATTGTTACAACAACTGTAGAAAACAGAAAGGTTGCGCCTCTTTCACAATGCGTAAGAAAGACAGTTACTGTTGGTTGAAGAAGAAACACAACGGAGCCAGGAGGAAGACCGGTAAAGGACATCTCTTGAGTGCTAACATGGTTCTAGCAAAACGTACTGGCAATGCCAACTCTCTGAACTCAAAGACTGAAGGTGATTATAATTGAAGAGTTATAAATCGGTTTTATTCTTTTTCTATTGCTATGAAAAAAACCAAGTTCACCATCACGAAGTCAACTTATCAATATTGTGACCATTATGATCTTGAACTAAGATCTGAAATTAGTCCAATTATATTCCATCTACAGTTGTTATGAACAGCATTGATATGATAACCTAATTTGTTTCAGCCCGTGTTGAAAATAACGTAGACTACTGGGGTGCTGACATCAGGAGCTTCCGAAGCAAGGGTCTCCGAGATTGTTACAACAACTGTAGAAAACAGAAAGGTTGCGCTTCTTTCACAATGCGCAAGAAAGACAGTTACTGTTGGTTGAAGAAGAAACACAACGGAGCCAGGAGGTTGACCGGTAAAGGACATCTCTTGAGTGCTAACATGGTTCTAGCAAAACGTACTGGCAATGCCAACTCTCTGAGCTCAAGGACTGAAGGTGATTAAAATTTAAAATTTATAAATCAGCTTTATTCATTTTCAATTGTTAAGAAAAAAACCAATTTCACGATCATGAAGTCAACTTATCAATATGCTGACGAATGACGATTTATAATCTTGAACTAAGATATGAAATTAGTCCAATTATATTCCATCTACAGTTGTTATGAACCGCCTTGATATGATAACTTAATTTGTTTCAGCCCGTGTTGAAAATAACGTAGACTACTGGGGTGCTGACATCAGGAGCTTCCGAAGCAAGGGTCTCCGAGATTGTTACAACAACTGTAGAAAACAGAAAGGTTGCGCCTCTTTCACAATGCGTAAGAAAGACAGTTACTGTTGGTTGAAGAAGAAACACAACGGAGCCAGGAGGAAGACCGGTAAAGGACATCTCTTGAGTGCTAACATGGTTCTAGCAAAACTTACTGGCAATGCCAACTCTCTGAACTCAAAGACTGAAGGTGATTAAAATTGAAGAGTTATAAATCGGTTTTATTCTTTTCCTATTGCTATGAAAAAACAAATTTCACGATCATGAAGTCAACTTATCAATATAATGACGAATGACGATTTATAATCTTGAACTAAGATATGAAATTAGTCCAATTATATTCCATCTACAGTTGTTATGAACTGCATTGATATGATAACCTAATTTGTTTCAGCCCGTGTTGAAAATAACGTAGACTACTGGGGTGCTGACATCAGGAGCTTCCGAAGCAAGGGTCTCCGAGATTGTTACAACAACTGTAGAAAACAGAAAGGTTGCGCCTCTTTCACAATGCGCAAGAAAGACAGTTACTGTTGGTTGAAGAAGAAACACAACGGAGCCAGGAGGTTGACCGGTAAAGGACATCTCTTGAGTGCTAACATGGTTCTAGCAAAACGTACTGGCAATTCCAACTCTCTAAACTCAAAGACTGAAGGTGATTAAAATTTAAAATTTATAAATCAGCTTTATTCATTTTCAATTGTTAAGAAAAAAACCAATTTCATGATCATGAAGTCAACTTATCAATATGATGACGAATGACGATTTATAATCTTGAACTAAGATATGAAATTAGTCCAATTATATTCCATCTACAGTTGTTATGAACCGCCTTGATATGATAACTTAATTTGTTTCAGCCCGTGTTGAAAATAACGTAGACTACTGGGGTGCTGACATCAGGAGCTTCCGAAGCAAGGGTCTCCGAGATTGTTACAACAACTGTAGAAAACAGAAAGGTTGCGCTTCTTTCACAATGCGCAAGAAAGACAGTTACTGTTGGTTGAAGAAGAAACACAACGGAGCCAGGAGGAAGACCGGTAAAGGACATCTCTTGAGTGCTAACATGGTTCTAGCAAAACGTACTGGCAATGCCAACTCTCTGAACTCAAAGACTGAAGGTGGTTAAAATTGAAGAGTTATAAATCGGTTTTATTCTTTTTCATATTGCTATGAAAAAAACCAAGTTTACCATCACGAATTCAACTTATCAATATTGTGACCATTTATGATCTTGAACTAAGATCTGAAATTATTCTAATTATATTCCATCTACAGTTGTTATGAACAGCATTGATATGATAACCTAATTTGTTTCAGCCCGTGTTGAAAATAACGTAGACTACTGGGGTGCTGACATCAGGAGCTTCCGAAGCAAGGGTCTCCGAGATTGTTACAACAACTGTAGAAAACAGAAAGGTTGCGCCTCTTTCACAATGCGCAAGAAAGACAGTTACTGTTGGTTGAAGAAGAAACACAACGGAGCCAGGAGGAAGACCGGTAAAGGACATCTCTTGAGTGCTAACATGGTTCTAGCAAAACGTACTGGCAATGCCAACTCTCTGAACTCAAAGACTGAAGGTGATTAAAATTGAAGAGTTATAAATCGGTTTTATTCTTTTTCTATTGCTATGAAAAAACCAATTTCACGATCACGAAGTCAACTTATCAATATTGTGATCATTTATAATCTTGAACTAAGATATGAAATTAGTCCAATTATATTCCATCTACAGTTGTTATGAACTGCATTGATATGATAACCTAATTTGTTTCAGCCCGTGTTGAAAATAACGTAGACTACTGGGGTGCTGACATCAGGAGCTTCCGAAGCAAGGGTCTCCGAGATTGTTACAACAACTGTAGAAAACAGAAAGGTTGCGCCTCTTTCACAATGCGCAAGAAAGACAGTTACTGTTGGTTGAAGAAGAAACACAACGGAGCCAGGAGGTTGACCGGTAAAGGACATCTCTTGAGTGCTAACATGGTTCTAGCAAAACGTACTGGCAATTCCAACTCTCTGAACTCAAAGACTGAAGGTGATTAAAATTTAAAATTTATAAATCAGCTTTATTCATTTTCAATTGTTAAGAAAAAAACCAATTTCACGATCATGAAGTCAACTTATCAATATGATGACGAATGACGATTTATAATCTTGAACTAAGATATGAAATTAGTCCAATTATATTCCATCTACAGTTGATATGAACTACATTGATATGATAACCTAATTTGTTTCAGCCCGTGTTGAAAATAACGTAGACTACTGGGGTGCTGACATCAGGAGCTTCCGAAGCAAGGGTCTCCGAGATTGTTACAACAACTGTAGAAAACAGAAAGGTTGCGCCTCTTTCACAATGCGTAAGAAAGACAGTTACTGTTGGTTGAAGAAGAAACACAACGGAGCCAGGAGGTTGACCGGTAAAGGACATCTCTTGAGTGCTAACATGGTTCTAGCAAAACGTACTGGCAATGCCAACTCTCTGAACTCAAAGACTGAAGGTGATTAAAATTTAAAATTTATAAATCAGCTTTATTCATTTTCAATTGTTAAGAAAAAAAACCAATTTCACGATCATGAAGTCAATTTATCGATATGATGACGAATGACGATTATAATCTTGAACTAAGATATGAAATTAGTCCAATTATATTCCATCTACAGTTGTTATGAACTGCATTGATATGATAACCTAATTTGTTTCAGCCCGTGTTGAAAATAACGTAGACTACTGGGGTGCTGACATCAGGAGCTTCCGAAGCAAGGGTCTCCGAGATTGTTACAACAACTGTAGAAAACAGAAAGGTTGCGCCTCTTTCACAATGCGTAAGAAAGACAGTTACTGTTGGTTGAAGAAGAAACACAACGGAGCCAGGAGGTTGACCGGTAAAGGACATCTCTTGAGTGCTAACATGGTTCTAGCAAAACGTACTGGCAATTCCAACTCTCTGAACTCAAAGACTGAAGGTGATTAAAATTTAAAATTTATAAATCAGCTTTATTCATTTTCAATTGTTAAGAAAAAAAACCAATTTCACGATCATGAAGTCAACTTATCAATATGATGATGAATGACGATTATAATCTTGAACTAAGATATGAAATTAGTCCAATTATATTCCATCTACAGTTGTTATGAACTGCATTGATATGATAACCTAATTTGTTTCAGCCCGTGTTGAAAATAACGTAGACTACTGGGGTGCTGACATCAGGAGCTTCCGAAGCAAGGGTCTCCGAGATTGTTACAACAACTGTAGAAAACAGAAAGGTTGCGCCTCTTTCACAATGCGCAAGAAAGACAGTTACTGTTGGTTGAAGAAGAAACACAACGGAGCCAGGAGGAAGACCGGTAAAGGACATCTCTTGAGTGCTAACATGGTTCTAGCAAAACGTACTGGCAATTCCAACTCTCTGAACTCAAAGACTGAAGGTGATTAAAATTTAAAATTTATAAATAAGCTTTATTCATTTTCAATTGTTAAGAAAAAAACCAATTTCACGATCATGAAGTCAACTTATCAATATGATGATGAATGACGATTTATAATCTTGAACTAAGATATGAAATTAGTCCAATTATATTCCATCTACAGTTGTTATGAACTGCATTGATATGATAACTTAATTTGTTTCAGCCCGTGTTGAAAATAACGTAGACTACTGGGGTGCTGACATCAGGAGCTTCCGAAGCAAGGGTCTCCGAGATTGTTACAACAACTGTAGAAAACAGAAAGGTTGCGCCTCTTTCACAATGCGTAAGAAAGACAGTTACTGTTGGTTGAAGAAGAAACACAACGGAGCCAGGAGGATGACCGGTAAAGGACATCTCTTGAGTGCTAACATGGTTCTAGCAAAACGTACTGGCAATGCCAACTCTCTGAACTCAAAGACTGAAGGTGATTAAAATTTAAGATTCATAAATCAGCTTTATTCATTTTCAATTGTTAAGAAAAAACCAATTTCACGATCATGAAGTCAACTTATCAATATGATGATGAATGACGATTTATAATCTTGAACTAAGATATGAAATTAGTCCAATTATATTCCATCTACAGTTGTTATGAACTGCATTGATATGATAACCTAATTTGTTTCAGCCCGTGTTGAAAATAACGTAGACTACTGGGGTGCTGACATCAGGAGCTTCCGAAGCAAGGGTCTCCGAGATTGTTACAACAACTGTAGAAAACAGAAAGGTTGCGCCTCTTTCACAATGCGTAAGAAAGACAGTTACTGTTGGTTGAAGAAGAAACACAACGGAGCCAGGAGGTTGACCGGTAAAGGACATCTCTTGAGTGCTAACATGGTTCTAGCAAAACGTACTGGCAATTCCAACTCTCTGAACTCAAAGACTGAAGGTGATTAAAATTTAAAATTTATAAATCAGCTTTATTCATTTTCAATTGTTAAGAAAAAAACCAATTTCATGATCATGAAGTCAACTTATCAATATGATGACGAATGACGATTTATAATCTTGAACTAAGATATGAAATTAGTCCAATTATATTCCATCTACAGTTGTTATGAACTGCATTGATATGATAACCTAATTTGTTTCAGCCCGTGTTGAAAATAACGTAGACTACTGGGGTGCTGACATCAGGAGCTTCCGAAGCAAGGGTCTCCGAGATTGTTACAACAACTGTAGAAAACAGAAAGGTTGCGCCTCTTTCACAATGCGTAAGAAAGACAGTTACTGTTGGTTGAAGAAGAAACACAACGGAGCCAGGAGGAAGACCGGTAAAGGACATCTCTTGAGTGCTAACATGGTTCTAGCAAAACGTACTGGCAATTCCAACTCTCTGAACTCAAAGACTGAAGGTGATTAAAATTTAAAATTTATAAATCAGCTTTATTCATTTTCAATTGTTAAGAAAAAAACCAATTTCATGATCATGAAGTCAACTTATCAATATAATGACGAATGACGAATGACGATTTATAAACTTGAACTAAGATATGAAATTAGTCCAATTATATTCCATCTACAGTTGTTATGAACTGCATTGATATGATAACTTAATTTGTTTCAGCCCGTGTTGAAAATAACGTAGACTACTGGGGTGCTGACATCAGGAGCTTCCGAAGCAAGGGTCTCCGAGATTGTTACAACAACTGTAGAAAACAGAAAGGTTGCGCTTCTTTCACAATGCGCAAGAAAGACAGTTACTGTTGGTTGAAGAAGAAACACAACGGAGCCAAAAGGAAGACCGGTAAAGGACATCTTTTGAGTGCTAACATGGTCCTTAAACGAGGTAAGAACAGATTTTGAGATAATTTGTAACATTTTTTTATTAACATTTTTTAAAGATCTTGTATAATCTATCCAAAAATTGCTGATTTTATTATAACTATTATTTTGTTTAATTTATCCAAAAATTGCTGATTTTATTATAACTATTATCAACTTGATAAAAAACTTTGTTCTTGCCTTTTGAGATACTTTGCCTACTTCTAGATTCTAGAAGGAAATGCTAATTTAGTATTTAGCTAAGGTTTATACCATGCAGTGTATGAAATATTTGGAATAATGAGCAATCGATTTGATTTTAAACACTTTAGGTGGAAAAGTTAAGGTGACATCTGGAGTTGCAGTTACTGCTAAATGGCAAGCTATACCAGGAAGACTGATTCGTATCTCCAAAGGAAGATCTGGCGTGTGGGGTGTTAACAGGGGAGGAAATATCTACAAGCTTAACAGTAACGGTATTGAACTAATCATTAATTTATCAAACGAAATAGTTTATCAACAAACAACATTTGTTGCAAATTAGCGAAGATTGAATATGAAATAACCATATTTATCGTTAATGAGTATTGTTAGATTGGTCATTAAAAAGAAACGTTCTCGTAGGAAAAAGCTGGACTAAAATACCTGGTAACTTAGTACAAATTTCATCTGGTTCGTCTGTATGGGGAGTCAACAGACATGGTCAGATCTATAGATATGCGGGTCACAACAAATGGCAGCGAATACCTGGTACACTTACCAATGTGAGTAATTTCTGTAGACAGTATTAAATCAACGACTTCTAATCTTCTAATTACTTCTTGATAGTAGAATAGAGAGTATGAAATGTTTTCTGGAATAGCTATATGATTTCATGGACGGAATTTTCTTTCAGCTTGATGTCAGTGACAACGGTCATGTTTGGGGAGTCAGCAAACATCAGAATATCTATAGATGGACTGGAAAGAACTGGCAGCACATTGGAGGAAGGCTATACAAGTTACTGTGGGACCATCTGGAGTTTGGGTAGTCAACAGAGCAAATAACATTTACTATCGAAAAGGAACATATGGAGACAGCAATACTGCTGGATCTGGAGTAAGTTACAAAATTAAGATGATAATAAATTAAGAAAGTAAATTGTCAAGGAACCCACGCCTGGTGAAACTTGCATTTGTCCAAAGATTCATAAATCAATGTCTAAGCTAACAGTCCAACAACGAATTATCAAATTCTTTGAGAGCATAAGAATTAGTTTTTCAAATGAATAGCCAGTTTTATCCATTAACATTTCCATAACTAATTTCAATTGACTGGAAATCGTTACAGTGGACCCACATTGGTGGCAAGTTGAAGTGGATATCGTCTGGTAGCAATATTGTTGTTGGTGTGAACTCTGGCAACAACATTTACTACCGTAAAGGAATGAGTGCTTCAAGACCAACAGGTACTGGATGGGTACATATACCTGGAAAGTTGATGCAGATAGAGATATATGGAGATGAAGTTGTTGGAACGAACACTGGAAATGTAATCTACAAATGTCCTGTTTCTGGAGTACCTACCACAGCTACAAAAACAGTCGGTATGTAAGCAAGTATATTGATGTCAATAAGTGCTCATATGTATGTTTATTGGTTGAAGCGTTATCTTTTGGAATTGTAGGACCAATTCTGTAATTTTAGTTGGGGAGGTTGATAAAATCGTCGTATATATTTGCCATTACGAATCTATTTTCGGTGAATGTGATTCATTGTCAAACTCTTGCCTCCTAAACAGCCTGTTGGAGGTACATTGTTTGGTCTTCATATGTTTGACATATACTCATTCGCAAAAGTATACAATATTGATCTTTCAGGAAAATTTCATATTTTTCAATCCAGGTTTTTAGTTGAGTTTTGACACAGATGTCCGATTTACCCTGCCCTGGCCTTGTTTACAGATTCCGATTTACTGCGTTCCAATTTACCACAAATGCAGATTTACTGCGCTCCAATTTACTGCAAACGCAGATTTACCGCAAACCCAATTTACCCCACTATCAAGCCATCGTTTATCAAGAAACTACTTTTATTCATTATTAACGTTTCTAAAAAGAATAACAAATGGATTAACTCTAGCTCCAGACGGAGGTGTTCATAAAGCGGATAAGAAAGGATCAGACTACAGGGGAACTGTATCCCGCACAAAATCAGGACACGTCTGCCAGAGATGGGACTCTAATTCACCTAATAAACACAAATACTCTCCTAAGAAGTAAGTTTTATTGGTGCTTCTAAGGCACAACAGGTATAAGCTAGTCTCACCCACAGGCGGCCACAATACGGCATAATCCAGATTTAGATTTATTCTTATCCATATTATTCGGATTTTGGAAGATGAGACATCTATACAATATTTTAAACTTGACGAAATTTCCCCGGCAACGGGGACATAGAAGAAAAAACACCGAAAATCGACCTCAAAATGACCTCCTGGTGAAGCCAAACCCAGCTCGCAAATGGAGTTGAAACCTCGCCATTTTTAGCAGGGTTGTAGAAAAAGGATATGAATAGGCTATAGCATTCTTAGAATTTTGATTTAGGCTTTAGATTTTTTATAATTAACGTCGGAAGTGAGGTTAAATAATCGTTAGAATAACTAGCAGGAACCCGTCTAACCCTAAAGTGGTGTCAAGACTCGAGAGACTAAAATAATTATTACCTATTTAATTCGCGTTTTTGACACCACTTGGGAGTCCAAATTTTGGGCACTAAAATTATTATTCCTTGGCCAATTTTTTATTTTTTCATGCTGATTTGAAGGCCATTAAAGCATTTAACCCAGTCAAAAAAGTTTCAGTTGTATATCTTTTACGGTTTTTGCGGAAAGTTGCGTTAAAGTTGATGCCGTGGTGTCAGTAAAATGGCACAGATATATATATATTTCATGGCTGGACTTCTACACAATAAAAGAAAGCGGTTGTGATTAGATCTTCAAAAGTCTTTGCATCGTTTATTTACGTCAATTCTGAGAAATTATATCATTAAAGTAACTACAACAAATACGAATCATATACAATTGAGAATAAATACAAACTAAAAGCAGTGGGAAAATCTGATGAACTGAAATAAAAAAAAAAGAAACTGAAAGCCGTTAAAAATGTACTCTTATCTTATCTCTTATCTAAATACTGATAACTGATTCTCGGAAAATCACTTAAAATCACAACAAAAACCTGTAAAATTTATACTTAAGTAAAAAAATGTAATATGCACGTCTCTGGAATAATGGTATAACTAAATAAAATCTACAAAATATACTAAAACTAAAACTAAGCTCCGGCAGATTTAAAAAGTAGATGGTTACTATCAAGGGTGTTCATACCCCCAAACCGTTCAAGGGTTTTCAATTGGGTCTGGTAGAACCCCTCTCTAGCTTCCATAGCCTTTTCTTTGTCTGCTTTACTAATATTAGGCTCAAATACTAAAGCGTCTACTATAATGACAGAAAGGTGCTTACTAAGTGAGGAATTATAGCAGGCTATGGTACTAAAATCTAAATCATGATCAATATCTAAAAAATGGTTAACTAATTTACAACTTCTTATACCTTTCTTTATGTGACTCTTATGGTTAGAGAATCTCTTAGGGAGATTTGAGGTAGTATAACCGACATACGACTGTTTACAAGTCTTAAACTCCATTAAATAAATGAGGTTATAACTCTGACAAGATATATACTTAGTTATAGGGAAAACTTGTTTAGAATGGTGACTACTAAAATTGGAACAGGGGGACAGGAAATTTTGCTTACAAACATAACATTTACCACAAGCATGGCACCCTGGGTCGACAGCCCCGGGAACCGCCCTTAGACTTTCGGAGTCTGGTTCCTGGATCTGGCTTGCAGTTGTTTCTCTCTCATTATCACAGTTTAAAGTTCCACTGGCACGGTACTTATTGTGTACAAGCATGCCACCGATAGTTTGATTCTTTCGATGACTCACGAATACACTGTCCGCACGTAACAGCTTCTTCAGGGCCGGATCAAGGTTGAGAAGGTGCTTATACTTATGGATAATGCCCCCCATGTTGGGAAGTGCTGGATTTTGATCCATCACCATGGGTATTAAACAGGCAGTCGACTCATCCTTGTCTTTAAGGGTATACAAGTTTTTCCTATTAGCTATATCACTAAATTTGTTAAAGGCATCTTCTATAATACTGGAATGATAACCTCGGGCTAGAAGGTAACGTGTATAGACCTCTCTCTGCTCCAAGAAGTTAGTGTCTTCACTGTTGTTCTGTCTCACCCGCCTCGCCACTCCAAAAGGTATGTTTTTTACAACATGGTTCCTATGGCATGACGTGGGGATAAGGTAGCAGTGGGTGTCACTAGGTTTAGAGTAGAGTTTGGTGTGGACAACATCACCAACAGCATAGACATAGGTGTCTAGAAACTCAACGCCGTCCCTAGAGTAGTCGTAAGTAAACAAAAGGTTTGGGTGGATACTATTGAGCCATTCCATGAATTGTAATAATTCCTCAACAGTACCGGGCCAAGCCATATAAATTTCATCACGTAATCTACCCCAGAATGCTGGTCTATGAGGCGGGCCATATTCTAGATCTCCTTCGTTAACTAAAATATCAATCTTATCCATAGCACAATCAGCATACTCACATGAGTTCTTAGGACCCATCGCTGCTCCACGCTCCTGGCGGTATGTTATACCGTTAAATGAAGCAATGTTGTAATCAAGAGTAATTTCTAGTGCACTAATAATGCATTCTGTACTAAACAATTGATCACCACTACTCCTTTTATTCAGGTGCTTAGTGCATTGTTGGATCCCCATATCCCTAGGAATGTTGGTAAACATGTTAGATATATCGATGGCAACATGTATAACCTCCTTTCCCAACAATATGCTAGACTCGTTCAGGCTATCAATCTTCCTCAGAAAGTGAGGGGTATCAATAATTCTATAATTCAAAGTAGCCTTCTTCAATTCATACGCAGTCAAGGCAGAAAGGTTTTCAATGTACACACAGCCGGTGGTAATCATCCTCCCAGGATACAAAGGTGGTTTGTGTGCCTTGGGATTCAGGTACATGTTTCCAGGCTGGTTAAGCTCAGTACATGGAATAACCCACTCCTTGACCTTCTTGGACATACCTAATTCATCTTTAAACTCAATTGTCCAATTCGAAATTTTATCAATCAATTCTACAACTAAATCATCTACATTATTTAAGTATTTACAATACTATATACAGATCTATCATTTAAATGTACACCTATTCGTTGAATATAATCTTCTTCACTAAGAAGGAAGAATCCTACTCCTTTATCGAATGGTCTGATTACAATGTCTTTCCAACCTTTGACTTCTTTGAGAGCTGCTCTGATGGGCGCAGCGATGTTATCTGGTGAGACGAATTTCTGAGTTGGCCTGTGGAGGTCTACTTCTGCTCTGCAGCATTTTATAAATGCCTCAAGTGCAGGGTTTTTACAAGATTCGAAAGTACGTGATGCATCAGTCTTTATAAGACAACGTTCCATGTCAGTAACTCTCTTATCTGCTTTGTTGGGTCCACATTTAAAGCTATCAAATACAACTTTAGCTCTCATTTTAGAAAACCATCTACACAGATCGTTCTCGAAGCGGCTTAGATCTGGTAGGGGAGGTGTAGGTGCAAACTTGTGAGACAAGAAAAAGACATAGAGTTGCTCTTTACTAAGCTCTTTGTCTGTAAGATTTACAACTGTTCTGGACATGTTTTCCATTGACAAGTCTTCAACCTTGGGAAGAGTACCTTTGATTAACGTCCTCTGATGTCGTCTCGCTTTATATATAGTAAGATGGCGTTATTTTAGCAAAGGTTTACTGCGCTGTTGCGTAGCAACGATAAAAATGCACGTGCGCGAGCAAGAACATCTTAACTACGCACGTTGTTATGCTGTATGCTACGTCATAACTTCAAAACTAGCTCACATTTACGCTCACGCTATGACTTATATTCATAACTTTGGTTGTGATTGGTATTTTTTGATGCGGTAAAAAGTATCGTTTTGGGAATCCGAATACTAACAACGCTGTCGCCATTGTTAAATAAATTCCATTATGTCTACTGTATAACAGAGCTGTATGATGAAGAGAAATAAAAACATAACTGATTTTTAAAATTTCCTCGAACAAAGCTTTCGACTAGCGGGTTTCTAGTGTACTATATTTAATCGAGCGTCCTAAATCATTTTACACCCAAACTTCGAAATGTTTCTAAATGGGCTCTCGACAGAAGCCAAATTATTAGTTACGATTCACAACACTACCTACTTTAGGAAAATAGCTTAATACAAAAACATTTTCAGATACCCTCATTCAGGACTGCAAAACAACTATTGCAGAAATCCATCCGGGTAAGTCTTCAATATCTGATATCCGGTAGTGTTCCATAAGGATTGTTATCAAGTCGAGCACAAGGTAGGGGCACAAACTTTTATTGTAGATTTAAGTAAAATCTACAATAAAACTGCAATGAAGGGGCTGTGGAATATAAATCATCTGTGAAATTTCTTTTTACTTTTAGAAATTCTTCATTATAACATGTGTCGTCATTTTCCTCAGTGCATCAAAAGGCGCCTGGTGTTATAATGCTGAGGGAACTAAGCCTCGATGGGACTACTGTAATATACCTACAAGCAGTGGTAAGCATTTTGATCTTCAAACTAAATCATGAATACTCATAATATTAAAGCTGAGATCATGTGTGTCGTGTGTCTATAATCATTTTGTAAACAGTTTTTTAAGATCTTGTAATATCTATACAAAAATTGCTGAGTTTATTATAACTATTATCAACTTGATAAAAAACTTTGTTCTTGCCTTTTGAGATACTTTGCCTACTTCTAGATTCTAGAAGGAAATGCTAATTTAGTATTTAGCTAAGGTTTATACCATGCAGTGTATGAAATATTTGGAATAATGAGCAATCGATTTGATTTTAAACACTTTAGGTGGAAAAGTTAAGGTGACATCTGGAGTTGCAGTTACTGCTAAATGGCAAGCTATACCAGGAAGACTGATTCATATCTCCAAAGGAAGATCTGGCGTGTGGGGTGTTAACAGGGGAGGAAATATCTACAAGCTTAACAGTAACGGTATTGAACTAATCATTAATTTATCAAACGAAATAGTTTATCAACAAACAACATTTGTTGCAAATTAGCGAAGATTGAATATGAAATAACCATATTTATCGTTAATGAGTATTGTTAGATTGGTCATTAAAAAGAAACGTTCTCGTAGGAAAAAGCTGGACTAAAATACCTGGTAACTTAGTACAAATTTCATCTGGTTCGTCTGTATGGGGAGTCAACAGACATGGTCAGATCTATAGATATGTGGGTCATAACAAATGGCAGCGAATACCTGGTGCACTTACCAATGTGAGTAATTTCTGTAGGCAGTATTAAATCAACGACTTCTAATCCTCTAATTACTTCTTGATAGTAGAATAGAGAGTATGAAATGTTTTCTGGAATAGCTATATGATTTCATGGACGGAATTTTCTTTCAGCTTGATGTCAGTGACAACGGTCATGTTTGGGGAGTCAGCAAACATCAGAATATCTATAGATGGACTGGAAAGAACTGGCAGCACATTGGAGGAAAGGCTATACAAGTTACTGTGGGACCATCTGGAGTTTGGGTAGTCAACAGAGCAAATAACATTTACTATCGAAAAGGAACATATGGAGACAGCAATACTGCTGGATCTGGAGTAAGTGACAAAATTAAGATGATAATAAATTAAGAAAGTAAATTGTCAAGGAACCCACGCCTGGTGAAACTTGCATTTTTCCAAAGATTCATAAATCAATGTCTAAGCTAACAGTCCAACAACGAATTATCAAATTCTTTGAGAGCATAAGAATTAGTTTTTCAAATGAATAGCCAGTTTTATCCATTAACATTTCCATAACTAATTTCAATTGACTGGAAATCGTTACAGTGGACCCACATTGGTGGCAAGTTGAAGTGGATATCGTCTGGTAGCAATATTGTTGTTGGTGTGAACTCTGGCAACAACATTTACTACCGTAAAGGAATGAGTGCTTCAAGACCAACCGGTACTGGATGGGTACATATACCTGGAAAGTTGATGCAGATAGAGATATATGGAGATGAAGCTGTTGGAACGAACACTGGAAATGTAATCTACAAATGTCCTGTTTCTGGAGTACCTACCACAGCTACAAAAACAGTCGGTATGTAAGCAAGTATATTGATGTCAATAAGTGCTCATATGTATGTTTATTGGTTGAAGCGTTATCTTTTGGAATTGTAGGACCAATTCTGTAATTTTAGTTGGGGAGGTTGATAAAATCGTCTTATATATTTGCCATTACGAATCTATTTTCGGTGAATGTGATTCATTGTCAAACTCTTGCCTCCTAAACAGCCTGTTGGAGGTACATTGTTTGGTTTTCATATGTTTGACATATACTCATTCGCAAAAGTATATAATATTGATCTTTCAGGAAAATCTCATATTTTTCAATCCAGGTTTTTAGTTGAGTTTTGACACAGATGTCCGATTTACCCTGCCCTGGCCTTGTTTACAGATTCCGATTTACTGCGTTCCAATTTACCACAAATGCAGATTTACTGCGCTCCAATTTACCGCAAACGCAGATTTACCGCAAACCCAATTTACCCCACTATCAAGCCATCGTTTATCAAGAAACTACTTTTATTCATTATTAATGTTTCTAAAAAGAATAACAAATGGGTTAACTCCAGCACCAGACGAAGGTGTTCATAAAGCGGATAAGAAAGGATCAAACTACAGGGGAACTGTATCCCGCACAAAATCAGGACACGTCTGCCAGAGATGGGACTCTAATTCACCTAATAAACACAAATACTCTCCTAAGAAGTAAGTTTTATTGGTGTTTCTAAGGCACAACAGGTATAAGCTAGTCTCACCCACAGGCGGCCACAATACGGCATAATCCAGATTTATATTTATTCTTATCCAGATTATTCGGATTTTGGAAGATGAGACATGTACTATATTTAATCGAGCGTCCTAAATCATTTTACACCCAAACTTCGAAATGTTTCTAAAAGGGCTCTCGACAGAAGCCAAATTATTAGTTACGATTCACAACACTACCTACTTTAGGAAAATAGCTTATTACAAAAACATTTTCAGATACCCTCATTCAGGACTGCAAAACAACTATTGCAGAAATCCATCCGGGTAAGTCTTCAATATCTGATATCCGGTAGTGTTCCATAAGGATTGTTATCAAGTCGAGCACAAGGTAGGGGCACAAACTTTTATTGTAGATTTAAGTAAAATCTACAATAAAACTGCAATGAAGGGGCTTTGGAATATAAATCATCTGTGAAATTTCTTTTTACTTTTAGAAATTCTTCATTATAACATGTGTCGTCATTTTCCTCAGTGCATCAAAAGGCGCCTGGTGTTATAATGCTGAGGGAACTAAGCCTCGATGGGACTACTGTAATATACCTACAAGCAGTGGTAAGCATTTTGATCTTCAAACTAAATCATGAATACTCATAATATTAAAGCTGAGATCATGTGTGTCGTGTGTCTATAATCATTTTGTAAACAGTTTTTTAAGATCTTGTAATATCTATACAAAAATTGCTGAGTTTATTATAACTATTATCAACTTGATAAAAAACTTTGTTCTTGCCTTTTGAGATACTTTGCCTACTTCTAGATTCTAGAAGGAAATGCTAATTTAGTATTTAGCTAAGGTTTATACCATGCAGTGTATGAAATATTTGGAATAATGAGCAATCGATTTGATTTTAAACACTTTAGGTGGAAAAGTTAAGGTGACATCTGGAGTTGCAGTTACTGCTAAATGGCAAGCTATACCAGGAAGACTGATTCGTATCTCCAAAGGAAGATCTGGCGTGTGGGGTGTTAACAGGGGAGGAAATATCTACAAGCTTAACAGTAACGGTATTGAACTAATCATTAATTTATCAAACGAAATAGTTTATCAACAAACAACATTTGTTGCAAATTAGCGAAGATTAAATATGAAATAACCATATTTATCGTTAATGAGTATTGTTAGATTGGTCATTAAAAAGAAACGTTCTCGTAGGAAAAAGCTGGACTAAAATACCTGGTAACTTAGTACAAATTTCATCTGGTTCGTCTGTATGGGGAGTCAACAGACATGGTCAGATCTATAGATATGCGGGTCATAACAAATGGCAGCGAATACCTGGTGCACTTACCAATGTGAGTAATTTCTGTAGACAGTATTAAATCAACGACTTCTAATCTTCTAATTACTTCTTGATAGTAGAATAGAGAGTATGAACTGTTTTCTGGAATAGCTATATGATTTCATGGACGGAATTTTCTTTCAGCTTGATGTCAGTGACAACGGTCATGTTTGGGGAGTCAGCAAACATCAGAATATCTATAGATGGACTGGAAAGAACTGGCAGCACATTGGAGGGAAGGCTATACAAGTTACTGTGGGACCATCTGGAGTTTGGGTAGTCAACAGAGCAAATAACATTTACTATCGAAAAGGAACATATGGAGACAGCAATACTGCTGGATCTGGAGTAAGTGACAAAATTAAGATGATAATAAATTAAGAAAGTAAATTGTCAAGGAACCCACGCCTGGTGAAACTTGCATTTGTCCAAAGATTCATAAATCAATGTCTAAGCTAACAGTCCAACAACGAATTATGAAATTCTTTGAGAGCATAAGAATTAGTTTTTCAAATGAATAGCCATTTTTATCCATTAACATTTCCATAACTAATTTCAATTGACTGGAAATCGTTACAGTGGACCCACATTGGTGGCAAGTTGAAGTGGATATCGTCTGGTAGCAATATTGTTGTTGGTGTGAACTCTGGCAACAACATTTACTACCGTAAAGGAATGAGTGCTTCAAGACCAACAGGTACTGGATGGGTACATATATCTGGAAAGTTGATGCAGATAGAGATATATGGAGACGAAGTTGTTGGAACGAACACTGGAAATGTAATCTACAAATGTCCTGTTTCTGGAGTACCTACCACAGCTACAAAAACAGTCGGTATGTAAGCAAGTATATTGATGTCAATAAGTGCTCATATGTATGTTTATTGGTTGAAGCGTTATCTTTTGGAATTGTAGGACCAATTCTGTAATTTTAGTTGGGGAGGTTGATAAAATCGTCGTATATATTTGCCATTACAAATCTATTTTCGGTGAATGTGATTCATTGTCAAACTCTTGCCTCCTAAACAGCCTGTTGGAGGTACATTGTTTGGTCTTCATATGTTTGACATATACTCATTCGCAAAAGTATACAATATTGATCTTTCAGGAAAATCTCATATTTTTCAATCCAGGTTTTTAGTTGAGTTTTGACACAGAAGTCCGATTTACCCTGCCCTGGCCTTGTTTACAGATTCCGATTTACTGCGTTCCAATTTACCACAAATGCAGATTTACTGCGCTCAAATTTACCGCAAACGCAGATTTACCGCAAACCCAATTTACCCCACTATCAAGCCATCGTTTATCAAGAAACTACTTTTATTCATTATTAACGTTTCTAAAAAGAATAACAAATGGATTAACTCCAGCTCCAGACGAAGGTGTTCATAAAGCGGATAAGAAAGGATCAGACTACAGGGGAACTGTATCCCGCACAAAATCAGGACACGTCTGCCAGAGATGGGACTCTAATTCACCTAATAAACACAAATACTCTCCTAAGAAGTAAGTTTTATTGGTGCTTCTAAGGCACAACAGGTATAAGCTAGTCTCACCCACAGGCGGCCACAATACGGCATAATCCAGATTTAGATTTATTCTTATCCAGATTATTCGGATTTTGGAAGATGAGACATGTACTATATTTAATCGAGCGTCCTAAATCATTTTACACCCAAACTTCGAAATGTTTCTAAATGGGCTCTCGACAGAAGCCAAATTATTAGTTACGATTCACAACACTACCTACTTTAGGAAAATAGCTTATTACAAAAACATTTTCAGATACCCTCATTCAGGACTGCAAAACAACTATTGCAGAAATCCATCCGGGTAAGTCTTCAATATCTGATATCCGGTAGTGTTCCATAAGGATTGTTATCAAGTCGAGCACAAGGTAGGGGCACAAAAATTTATTGTAGATTTAAGTAAAATCTACGATAAAACTGCAATGAAGGGGCTTTGGAATATAAATCATCTGTGAAATTTCTTTTTACTTTTAGAAATTCTTCATTATAACATGTGTCGTCATTTTCCTCAGTGCATCAAAAGGCGCCTGGTGTTATAATGCTGAGGGAACTAAGCCTCGATGGGACTACTGTAATATACCTACAAGCAGTGGTAAGCATTTTGATCTTCAAACTAAATCATGAATACTCATAATATTAAAGCTGAGATCATGTGTGTCGTGTGTCTATAATCATTTTGTAAACAGTTTTTTAAGATCTTGTAATATCTATACAAAAATTGCTGAGTTTATTATAACTATTATCAACTTGATAAAAAACTTTGTTCTTGCCTTTTGAGATACTTTGCCTACTTCTAGATTCTAGAAGGAAATGCTAATTTAGTATTTAGCTAAGGTTTATACCATGCAGTGTATGAAATATTTGGAATAATGAGCAATCGATTTGATTTTAAACACTTTAGGTGGAAAAGTTAAGGTGACATCTGGAGTTGCAGTTACTGCTAAATGGCAAGCTATACCAGGAAGACTGATTCGTATCTCCAAAGGAAGATCTGGCGTGTGGGGTGTTAACAGGGGAGGAAATATCTACAAGCTTAACAGTAACGGTATTGAAACTTATCATTAATTTATCAAACGAAATAGTTTATCAACAAACAACATTTGTTGCAAATTAGCGAAGATTAAATATGAAATAACCATATTTATCGTTAATGAGTATTGTTAGATTGGTCATTAAAAAGAAACGTTCTCGTAGGAAAAAGCTGGACTAAAATACCTGGTAACTTAGTACAAATTTCATCTGGTTCGTCTGTATGGGGAGTCAACAGACATGGTCAGATCTATAGATATGCGGGTCATAACAAATGGCAGCGAATACCTGGTGCACTTACCAATGTGAGTAATTTCTGTAGACAGTATTAAATCAACGACTTCTAATCTTCTAATTACTTCTTGATAGTAGAATAGAGAGCATGAACTGTTTTCGGGAATAGCTATATGATTTCATGGACGGAATTTTCTTTCAGCTTGATGTCAGTGACAACGGTCATGTTTGGGGAGTCAGCAAACATCAGAATATCTATAGATGGACTGGAAAGAACTGGCAGCACATTGGAGGGAAGGCTATACAAGTTACTGTGGGACCATCTGGAGTTTGGGTAGTCAACAGAGCAAATAACATTTACTATCGAAAAGGAACATATGGAGACAGCAATACTGCTGGATCTGGAGTAAGTGACTAAATTAAGATGATAATAAATTAAGAAAGTAAATTGTCAAGGAACCCACGCCTGGTGAAACTTGCATTTGTCCAAAGATTCATAAATCAATGTCTAAGCTAACAGTCCAACAACGAATTATCAAATTCTTTGAGAGCATAAGAATTAGTTTTTCAAATGAATAGCCAGTTTTATCCATTAACATTTCCATAACTAATTTCAATTGACTGGAAATCGTTACAGTGGACCCACATTGGTGGCAAGTTGAAGTGGATATCGTCTGGTAGCAATATTGTTGTTGGTGTGAACTCTGGCAACAACATTTACTACCGTAAAGGAATGAGTGCTTCAAGACCAACCGGTACTGGATGGGTACATATACCTGGAAAGTTGATGCAGATAGAGATATATGGAGATGAAGTTGTTGGAACGAACACTGGAAATGTAATCTACAAATGTCCTGTTTCTGGAGTACCTACCACAGCTACAAAAACAGTCGGTATGTAAGCAAGTATATTGATGTCAATAAGTGCTCATATGTATGTTTATTGGTTGAAGAATTATCTTTTGGAATTGTAGGACCAATTCTGTAATTTTGGTTGGGGAGGTTGATAAAATCGTCGTATATATTTGCCATTACGAATCTATTTTTGGTGAATTTGATTCATTTTTAAAGCGCTTAAATTCTTATGATTTGTGTACTCCTTGGGAAATAACTGAAATTCGTTTCTTTCAAGTTCGTAAAACAAGTACAACAGTTCGAAGAGTTAAGGTAACTTGGAGTCAACACAACGGAAAATACCTTTCTGGGTACAGTAGTGGACAACACAATTACCCTAATCTTCAAGAGGCTGCTAAACAATGCTACCAGCGTAAAGGTTCGTAACTGTTGACACTTATCTTTCATAACATTTTATATGAAGCAGTAATATTTGCCTTCTCTACACTGAATACGTAGCAATATTTTCACTTTTAGATAGCTTAAAATCTTAAGTCGTTCACTTTACTCAATGATTAATATCATTTATTAACAGATTGTGGAGGAATCACGTTCGAGCCCAAAACAAAGAGATTTACTCTAAGAAAAGGAACATCACTCAAAAAAAGTCCTAGCCACGAAATATCCTGGACCAAAACAACTACAACTACAACTGGAAAAGGTGGAGCGACTTCCGGTGAGATATATTAATCTATAACATGAATTTGAGTATTTTATATCTAGTCAGTACAATCGGAAAAATGTGATTGCCAAATAATATACAATATAACCTTTATTTACACTTCCTTTTCAAACTACAATGAGATTTAGGTGCACCATTGATCAGTATTGTATATATAATCATACATTTTTGTGGGTCCTAGGAAAATAATTTAAATTCGTTTCCTTTTCAAGTTCGTAGAACAAATACAACAGTTCGAAGAGTTAAGGTAACTTGGAGTCAACACAACGGAAAATACCTTTCTGGGTACAGTAGTGGACAACACAATTACCCTAATCTTCAAGAGGCTGCTAAACAATGCTACCAGCGTAAAGGTTCGTAACCATTGACACTTATCTTTCATAACATTTTATATGAAGCAGTAATATTTGCCTTCTCTACACTGAATACGTAGCAATATTTTCACTTTTAGATAGCTTAAAATATTAAGTCGTTCACTTTACTCAATGATTAATATCATTTATTAACAGATTGTGGAGGAATCACGTTCGAGCCCAAAACAAAGAAATTTACTCTAAGAAAAGGAACATCACTCAAAAAAAGTCCTGGCCACGAAATATCCTGGACCAAAACAACTACAACTACAACTGGAAAAGGTGGAGCGACTTCCGGTGAGATATATTAATCTATAACATGAATTTGAGTATTTTATATATAGTCAGTACAATCGGAAAAATGTGATTGTCAAATAATATACAATAAAATCTTTATTTACATGGCTTCTCTATATAGAAAAATGATTCCAGACTCAGATCATCCCTCCTCCAATGTCAAGGACCTGTTCGTTGATATAGCTGGAATGATTTTCACGTGTCCTCGCTCACGAAGTTGCTCTCACGCAGTTTCTCATTAGCTATTTTGTGAAACGGCGCCTTATTCTATAAAATTTCACATCTGTCGTTAAGGGTAATTTATCTGCAAATGATATTGATAAAGGGATGTTGGAATGTTGATGGGATTTAGGTGCACCATTGACCAGTATCGTATATATAATCATACATTTTTTGTGGGTCCCTAGGAAAATAATTTAAATTCGTTTCCTTTTCAAGTTCGTAGAACAAGTACAACAGTTCGAAGAGTTAAGGTAACTTGGAGTCAACACAACGGAAAATACCTTTCTGGGTACAGTAGTGGACAACACAATTACCCTAATCTTCAAGAGGCTGCTAAACAATGCTACCAGCGTAAAGGTTCATAACTGTTGACACTTATCTTTCATAACATTTTATATGAAGCAGTAATATTTGCCTTCTCTGCACTGAATACGTAGCAATATTTTCACTTTTAGATAGCTTAAAATCTTAAGTCGTTCACTTTACTCAATGATTAATATCATTTATTAACAGATTGTGGAGGAATCACGTTCGAGCCCAAAACAAAGAAATTTACTCTAAGAAAAGGAACATCACTCAAAAAAAGTCCTAGCCACGAAATATCCTGGACCAAAACAACTACAACTACAACTGGAAAAGGTGGAGCGACTTCCGGTGAGATATAACATGAATTTGAGTATTTTATATCTAGTCAGTACAATCGGAAAAATGTGATTGTCAAATAATATACAATAAAATCTTTATTTACATGGCTTCTCTATATAGAAAAATGATTCCAGACTCAGATCATCCCTCCTCCAATGTCAAGGACCTGTTCGTTGATATAGCTGGAATGATTTTCACGTGTCCTCGCTCACGAAGTTGCTCTCACGCAGTTTCTCATTAGCTACTTTGTGAAACGGCGCCTTATTCTATAAAATTTCACATCTGTCGTTAAGGGTAATTTATCTGCAAATGATATTGAAAAAGGGATGTTGGAATGTTGATGGGATTTAGGTGCACCATTGACCAGTATCGAATATATAAACATACATTCTTTGTGGGTCCCTAGGAAAAAACTTAAATTCGTTTCCTTTTCCAGTTCGTAGAACAAGTACAACAGTTCGAAGAGTTAAGGTAACTTGGAGTCAACACAACGGAAAATACCTTTCTGGGTACAGTAGTGGACAACACAATTACCCTAATCTTCAAGAGGCTGCTAAACAATGCTACCAGCGTAAAGGTTCATAACCATTGACACTTATTTATTTCATGTAGTATTAAATTGTGCTTTCTCACTAAATATTTAACTTGATTTTTATACTATTGCGATAAGATTTGCAATTGTCTTTTTGTGAATTAATTTAAATCAATTTTACAATTAAATATCATCACACTACAGATTGTGGAGGAATCACGTTCGAGCCCAAAACAAAGAAATTTACTCTTAGAAAAGGAACTTCACTCAAAAATAGTCCTAGCCACGAAGTATCCTGGACCAAAACAATTTCAACCTCCACTCATAACGGTAAATTTTGACTACATATCTTTAATTGAATTTGAAGAGTATATTTTGGTTAGTGCTATCACATTCAAAACTACATTTGAACTATAAATATTTGAGCAGACATCTAGCAAGAAAACAGTCTACAGATAAACATTTAAATCAAATGTCATCGTACTCTATTGAAACCTTTAGTTGGCTGCTGTATCATACGCATGCACTGAAGGGCTTTGAAATGTTTGGTTCGTCGGACCAAATATTGTGTTTGCAATGTTCCAGCTAATCATTGAACCATGGTGTTGCTTAACTTACCTTATGATGGGTTTTTTAATCCTGATAAGACACGATGACTGCAGAAACAAGAATTTGGTGCTGTTACAGATTACATGTACTGTACAAAATATGAGCATATCCATATCTGTAGGAGAACACTTATTATATAAGCCTTGAAGGGTACTGATTAGATACAAAAATCGGCCGTGACCGGATTTAAAAAATTAAATTCCTTCTCAGGCCAAGGACACAGACAACGTGGATCTCCTCCTAATGGTGGACCTCCTCGCGGTGGACCTCCTCGCGGTGGACCTCCTCGCAGTGGACCTCCTCGCGGTGGACCTCCTCGCGGTGGACCTCCTCGCGGTGGACCTCCTCGCGGTGGACCTCCTCGCGGTGGACCTCCTCGCGGTGGACCTCCCCACGGTGGACCTCCCCACGGTGGACCTCCTCACGGTGGACCTCCTCACGGTGGACCTCCTCACGGTGGACCTCCTCACGGTGGACCTCCTTTCGGTGGACCTCCCCACGGTGGACCTCCCCACGGTAGACCTCCTCACGGTGGACCTCCTCACGGTGGACCTCCTCACGGTGGACCTCCTCACGGTGGACCTCCTTTCGGTGGACCTCCCCACGGTGGACCTCCCCACGGTGGACCTCCCCACGGTGGACCTCCTCACGGTGGACCTCCTCACGGTGGACCTCCTCACGGTGGACCTCCTCACGGTGGACCTCCTTTCGGTGGACCTCCCCACGGTGGACCTCCTCACCATCCCCCTCCTCATCATCCCCCTCATTACCATCCCCATCCTCACCACCCCCCTCCTCATCATGGACAATAGATTGAACTCTTGATTGATGATGAAGGAGAGTCATGATGATGATGATGATCTCGTGAATTAATTGTTAAGGGTTATGTGAGATAAAGGCACAACTGCTGGGCAGAATGCAGATCTTTTGTTTTGTGCTTATTGATCAACGAATATGTAAATAAGAATCCAATCAATTTGATAAATATTATGATATTTTGATTCTTGACACATCTATGATTGAGTTTAATTTTTTATCATCGTTAAATACAAAATAAACTTAACCTTGCAATTTAACCTGAGTTAAACTGCTTTTTATCCATACTCGCAACCAAATATGCACGTGGGACTGGGAGCCATTATGCATTTTATAAATGCTTTTTTGAACTTCAAGATCATCTGATAGTTGAAGTCAGGGGAGTTCAAAGTCAGTGTGCAAACAGTGGCCAGTACCACCAGTGGTTCGAGGAATTTGTCAAATCGAAAAATATTCGAGTTCATTTTTTTCAAATGAACGTTCATTTTTGCATTTATTTGATAGTTTTGATAGTTGGATCGAGCCAAATTTTATTAAATTGTGTTTGGCCATTCGAATTACGTATGTCCTGAAAAAATTAGAACTGTAGCTTTTCAGATGACCGAGATATGAAGCATAACGAGTTTATTCATTACGTGTGACCAGGTGATTGGTTTACAATTACAATTCAGAAGGATCATCAACTGCCAAGAACGCCTGAAAGAACATCTCAACAACCTCAAAAAAGCCTTCCTTGCCGCATGTTACCCTAGAAAAATGATTGAGAACATCAGTAATAAGGTCCTTAACACAGCAAGATCACTGTCACGCAAAGTTCAGGCTCCTGATGACCAGACATCATTACATCTTCCAATCAGGGTCATATCTACTTATGGTAGTGATGATGATCTGGTGTCTGTGACTAAGAAGTATGAAGAACACCTCTCAAGAACGAGGAGTTTCAGTGAAAGTGACACTGCTGAAACATCCCAAGAGACCTCCACAACATCCGCCACGCCTAGGAAGACAATTTTCAGTTACACAAAGAAAACAGGGCCAAGCCTAAAATCTCGCCTCGTCAAATTGAAAGAACTTGCTTTAGGAGCTCAACATGGCCCAACCAGCAAATGCAATGTGCCAAGATGCAAATGTTGTGAACTTGTCAAAGGCACCCGTGAATTCAAAGTGAACGGCAAGAAGGTTAAAGCTTCCCCTGGAAACTGCCAGAGCTACAACATCATTTATCTATTCCAATGTAGTGTCTGTGGAAAGGCTTACGTCGGTCGCACAACTCGATCTCTACGGGTTAGGACTGGAGAACATAGGGTCAAATATTATAAACTTTTAAATGGTGATAAGGTAGATGAAACAAGTGATGAATATAGTTTGGGTTTACATTTGTTGGATCATGGTTTTAGACAAAGGGAAGATTTTAACAACATTTTTAATGTGTCAATTATTGATAATTCTAGTCCTAAAACTTTGGATGTCCGTGAACATAAATATATTCAACTACTCAAGACTTTAAAACCTTTGGGAATTAACACTATAAATCCTTTTGGCCTTCCTTTACTCCTAACATCTTAATTTTAACTTTATAACCGTTTTAAGAGTGTTCAGATTTTTTAAGGAATTTTGGGTTTTACTAACTTTTTACAATTTCTAGGGCTTATGTCACTGAAGATGACGCCTTGCAACATGTTTGACGATAGCCTGTAGATTGATAGTTTGATCTCAGTATTTACAACAATTCATCTAGTTTGATTGATTCAAAGGGAAACAAATTCCTCTGTTACAATTACAATTACATAATCACGTGATTAGGTGACCCCGTAAACCACCCCGTTGAACATTATGGGAATTGTTAAGGCCAAGGGTGCCCAATTAAAGTGTCGTGTCACGGTGTCTCATAATCACCCAGTCAATTTTGTTAACGAGATACACCGGCCGGGTGGTGTAGTGGTAAAAGACCCGGGTTCAAATCCGTCGGCCAGTTATATTATTACTGAGTTACCAAGCTTAACTGGCACAGCTTCGGCTGGTGATACACACCCTCTGGATACTAACCCCCCTACAGCTAGTATAGTGCCTTGGCAAAAAGTGCAGCTTAGGGTTGCCGAAAACTTGAAAATGAGATAAGCACCTCAGGCCGTCCCAACGTTCGGGAGAGACCTGCCCTTGTATTTTGTAATGTTGTTGATACACAAAATGCTTGATAACTTCGTCATTTCTATAATCCGTTTTGCCTCATTTTTTTAAAGATCAGATGCAACATTTAATAATTTACCGCCTCTGAAAAAAATTAGGCGTTCAGCATGTTCAAAGAAAACAAACTAAGTGTTTTAGTATTGAATGGGCGTGGTCTAAAATATTCGAATTTTCAAATTTTAGGGACGGAATCCTCGAACAATATAGTACAGCATGCCATCTGCTCAGCAAAAACTCACAAATATAAATTTATAAAACACCGCGGAGGTATGATAATTGACCATAGAGGACACACTATAAATATGATATCTTGGTTAATTACGTTGAAATTGATTAACGATGTAGCTACGATCTCAGTTTCACGAAGCCAGAAGAATTATTTGATGCGCGGCGCGGCCCAGTGGCAGTAGTGCATAGGCTACAATCGTTGAACCACCTTAGTTTTTTATTAGACGCATCAGTATTCGCGGATGGAATTGCGCACCTAACGAAACACTGATCCATCTCCCAACAAAGCAGTATCTCGCTAAACTACTAACTATGGGTATGCTTGGAGCTACAGTTATAGAGGTAAGGCAGAAAGTTACACAATGGTACCGAGAGCTCGCCCTGTTCTGTTATCAATTTACATAACGTTAATCAACCTGGTGTCGAACAGCTCGGTTCGTGCACGGACGTGAAATTTCTTCCTGAAATGCAAGTCACTTTGTTGCTCCCTCTTTTCAGAGCTCTCAAATCAGAACATGTCACTTCTACAACTGTGTCTTTGAGTACTGGATAGCTCCTTGTTGTTCTGATTCCATCCCAGTCAGGGTTTTGTTCAGTGCAGCCTAAGATTCGTAAGATTTGGTCAGTTTACAAAAATAAAATATTCAACACAGTCTGCACTCATGCACATTGCACTGTAACTAATGTGGATATATTTGAAAAGTGTTTCACAGAGGGGATGGCTACTTTCTATTCCACTTAGATCATTATTTAAAGTTTAAGCTGTAATCATATAGTTCACCCCTGGAGGTGGATTTTGGTAACATAATAGTGACACGAAATTTGCCTTCAGTCGTTAATAATATAATCCCTACTTATACAAAAAGTCTCACCTAGCTTGCATTCGGGCATACTTCCAGAGTATGAGTACGTTGTTCCGTAACTGCAGGTAACTTCGCTGCTTCCAAGGTTGAAAGTTCTTGTTGGGTCAGCACATCTCACCGTCAACAGAATGTCTCTCGTAACAGGTGGTTGAGGAGATAATTCAGTTAACAACCAGGATGAGGGTACTCCATCACAACCGCCTGTAAAGGTGTTTTGTCACAGCTGGGATATTTGCATACTTTCCATCGTTATAAATATAAGATTCGCGCTTTACTTGTTATAATTTATTGTTCTAAAGCCTAATTCTTGCTTTGAAGTCATTCTAGATATTTGAAATTTTCATTTAGATTATAATATTATATGCTTTTGTTTACCCATGCGATATTGAGCAGAGGCCTTGTCATTGTCAACGAATGCCAATTTCGCTACGTCTTTTCTCCAATAGTTTTTCCAATTGACATCACTGCATGTTGAGTCAGACATCAGGACGCTGAACTTCTCGTAATCATCAAGGGAAGCCACTAGCCTAGGAGAGTTACCCAATGTTTTGGAGATTTTCCAAATGCCATTTCTACCGGTGTTACCATCGTAGTTTCCCCGATAATGCCTACCACCAGAGAAACACTTTACAATGTAGTATTGGTTTGAACCAAGGAAAATCTCCAGTGCTCCGACTTCTGTATTCTGGATAATAGAGGCATTTCAATACACACCTTAATAATAATCAAGGATCACCTGATCAGTGATTGAAATACTTAAAATGACCCAACCCATGATACCACATACTTTGTCGGATCTTATTTGGTCGAACCTTACATGGAGCGCTCAGCGTCCACACGTAATCTCAACATTAAATTTCGTCTACTATATTGTAGCCGGACTAAAATGTACGTCCATATTTATGTCCGACCAAAATTATGTTTGTCCATATTATAATGTCTGCCAAAAATAAAGTACTAAATTTGAGTGACTTGTAATTACGAAAACAATTTTGTAACCTCAGATGTGAAGAACCAGACTTCAACTCTCTCCACTGAGTTTGTAATTGTCCGTATCTCCAACGGAATGCCTTCAAGGTCGAATGTGTCGTATGAGTTTCGGTTTATGTTTTTCCAGCCTAAAATAAATGGTATTAATAGCAGAAGAAGTTGCACGCAGCCCCTTATGGTTGGATCTTGATCGTCAATGATATGATTTATTTCATGCTAAGATGTTAGATATAACTATGCTGTCTTGCTATGATACAGTTGCCACTGAACGCATTTGGATGAGGAATAAGTGTTGAATACCGGTTGTACTTGTAAGGAGATTAGGTGACAAAAGCATGAAAAGAGATGGATGTGAACAAGATATTGACGATATAGATAAATTTATAAACGACATTCTAAGAAATTGTGACTTTTAGGACGACCCTCTGTTTTGAAAGAGTCACAGTCTTAACTGGTTGAATCAAGTACATACCTTGCCCAGTTGTAGGTCCTACAAGGAAGAGGGTTAAGAGGAAGACAGTTAGGATGTCTTTGGAGCGGATACCACCTTTAAACTTGCCTTTTCGCTTTTTCGGGTCCCGATATCTACACATCTTTCTTTGTAGAACCATCGAATTTGACATCCACGCTGTATATTTCAGAGTTTAATAAATAAGTTGATATCATCATATTATAATGATAAATAAAATACAAATAACTAATTTATATATTACAAGACGGGGAAGTCACACCTCACAAGCTAGGTAGTTTACCAGTTTTAGTTAATTTCTCTTAAGGAAATACAATTTCTTGAAGTGAGAATATACATGTATGCCAAAGAAATCGTTATCACAGTTCAGATAGAACTTAAAAGAGCTGCGAATATGATAAGCATTTTGTGAATCTGTCGCACAGTCGGGCATACAGATTATTCGTAACGGTAAGCAAAGTTAAACTGGGTATTTCACAGTTTAGCTTATCGTCCTGTCTTGTAAAGGCGGTTCAATGCATTGGATTTGGTGCTTTAATCGACGATTACCCCCACCCCTTTGAACTGTGAGGATTAGGAAGAGGGAGAATATGGATTGAGGAGAGCTGGGGAGCCGGATAAAACAAAGCATTTCGTTAAAGCTATCACCATAAGTTTAGAGGCTGGTCCACTATTCAACCAATCGCATGCCTGGATCTCGAGCATTGACCATTAGCAACCTTGGATTGTATTCACGTGTTGGGGTGATCAGGATTAACTCAGAATGATTCAACAGGGACGCATGAGCATTTCTATTGTCCTGACTCGCCCCGTTGGAACGTGAGCATACTTTACTATATCTAGGCATTAAAACGGTGCTAAATGAACTCGTGAGAGGCCCTTATTTGGATAATTTGCTCAATTTATAGTGGCATGCTAATTTTAGGTGGAAGTTTTATTAAAACCTTATATAACTGAGTATATCGTTTTTATCATTTACTGTTTCACATTTGTCTTATCAACATTCAATAATTTGAATTTAATAACAACATTATATGATCGGAAAACGATAATTTTTTCAACGTTTTGAAAATTATTGCAGGTTTTTTCCGCAGATTCCACATATGATTGATTCCCAAGTCCAAATATCAACGAACAGTTGCAGCGTTCGTGACCTAACTAGAACCCTACCACACTCTTACCGACCTAATATAAACGGATAAAGTGGATTTCAATTAAGTTATAACGGCGAGTGGAACTGCGGAACGGATGCAGCACAAATCAACCTGGTTCACTCTAGATTCCTTATCATATTTACCTATTAGGCTATCACAATTCAGTGATGGTGATTCCTTTGATAACGTGTTATTTTTGATAGAATCATATTGCATTGTACAGCTGTACTTCAATTAGGCAGCCTTCGCAGTTAAACAGTTACTGCAAATCGATTATCGTTTTCAACGTTTGGAGCGTAATTTCAATATTCCAGTATTCGCATTCGCTGGGTTAATCGAATTCAAAATAAAACTAACGTTTATTTTGTAGATGACAGAGTTGGATGGCGTCCAAAACAAGGTAATTTGACCCTTACCAAGAGTAAGACTATCATTCTATCACCGATCATATTACTCGATACATAACACCCTTTGCTTGACTGCTGATGTATAATATACGTATACCATATTTTGAATGAATTTAGGGGAAAACTTGTTTCTGTTTGTCTGAATTTGAACGATTGAGTGGCACTAAGAAATGGATTCTGATCATACCATCTCATGCAACCTTATAACTGACGAAATCTTCATCGCCGACGATGTAGATGCTGATGTCGATGATTTACTAGATATCCCTGATGTAAGATGCAAAATGTGAGGTCTCCTCGTCATATCTTCTGGAGACGATTTGTTACAAAATTGATAACTCCATTAAGAGGGTTTATGTTCAGGCTTTTGGAATACTTTTAAAATAGATTTTTTTTTCAGAGATACGACGGTGTAACTAGGAGGAAGTCATCAATGTTAGAAGAGGGTACGAGAAGGCGATCGTCTGCTTTGGAAGCTAAAGGATTCCCAAGTAATTCATGTTTTAACATGAGAATCTGTTTATTAGACTATTAGAGTTGTATCTTAACCTTTTAAAATATTGTTCAACTTTACAATTTTATAGTTTCAATCGCCTGTCTATGTTCATACAATTACAAGTCTTTGATTTTCGACTACTAATTTCAGCGATCACTGAACCGAAGAATGATGGTGGCAGTGATACCTATGAGAAGAAAAGGGAGAGGGTAAAGCGGGTAAATATATTTGTGTCTCCATCTTCATCAGAAATAACAGAATCCGTACCATATTGTGAAGAAAAATAGTTGTATAACATTATTTGTACACATTTTTAGTACAACGTCTTTTAAAAACGAATGAAACCATACCGTTTCATGTTTCTACAGGTCTCGTACTCATTTTGTAGTTTAGATCAATCCACTGCAAAGAAAGTACACGTACAAATATTTTTCTGAATATTTGTCACCCAAAATATTGTACTTAATAATACTTCACAGGTCTTTGGTTTCCCCATATCGATCCCTTTCATCATCTCTAATGAGTTTTGTGAACGCTTCTCTTACTACGGAATGAGAAGTTAGTGCTATGGTATTTAATGTTTATGTAATGTATAGAGTTGTAATATTAGGAGTCAGTGAACCTATAGTGGGCTGCGATGGATGGGTACTCATTGAGTTATTGCCACCCCATGGCAAAATTAAAATATATCGACTCTGTTACATCGCTTCCTGTGACTACAAAGTTACGCAACAGTAAAAAGAAATAGCAACATGTAAAATAGTATCACATCTTTCTGTATGATTTAATTCATCAAAATGCTCCATAACTCAAATTGTATGCCATTACAGCAATTTTGACGATATACTTTACAAAGAAGCTCTCTATGTCTGACGAGACGGCCACTCTTTGGTTTCACGAATTTGCAGCCTTATGTTATGCCACACCCCTTCTTGGTGCCATCATTGCTGATGTTTTCATAGGAAAGTTCATGTAAGTATTCCCAGTTTGATAATACGCTGAACTAAGAAATGTTATTTTATCGATATTTTTGATATATGGTTGTTCACTATGGTCACCATTGAAATCTCCTTTAAAATGATTTTTCAACGTCTTTAGGACAATTCTGATCATGTCAACAGTATACTTGATCGGGAATGCAGTAATGGCCATGTCTGCTGTTGGAAAATGGAGCGTATTCCAGAACTCTGCCTCCTACGACGAAGCGTCTGGTTTTTACGATTACGTCCCGGAATTCTGGGGGCCTATTCTGGCTCTGCATCTTATTGCTCTGGGAACGGGTGGTATCAAGCCCTGTGTCTCCAGCTTTGGGGGAGACCAGTTTAAAGTTACCGAGGTAAGCTATCTGCTACACACATGTATTCATTAAGTCCTTAAACATTTTAGATTTAATGGTATGGTTACATGTATTATGAAGACTACAGTACGTTTTTTGAACAACTTTAAGGTTAAGCGCCACCCCTCGAACATGATTTTAATTTTTCTAGGGCTTGCAACTACAACGTTTCTTTTCAATGTTTTACTTTTCTATCAACGCTGGAAGTGTTATTGCCACTGCTATTACTCCTGAACTTCGAGGTTAGTTGAATTTGAAAGGTTGCTCGACTGCAACTATAGATTTGAAATTGATAAAAGCGATGATATTCACCACAATGAGGAGTTATCAGTAGTCAGTACTTTGAGTCTGAGCCACTGTTTACTCTCTCTTTCTCTCCTTACAGTTAGCTGTTCTCTTAGCACTGTACTTTTTGTACTAAAAAGCATTTTATCATAAGTATGAGCACTCGCTGCTGTGACCGGGCTCCATTTTCAGGTATGAGTTGTTTGGGGGAGGACACGTGTTACCCCCTTGCGTTTGGAGTTCCAGCATTCTTCATGGTTATTGCCACTGTAGCCTTCCTAATTGCCAGTCGGTGGTACGTAAAAATTCCACCACTTGGAAATCCTATCATCGATGTTTCCAAAGTCACATGGGTAATTCATAATTCGAAATGATCTCGAATTTCTGTAATTGTCCTTTTACGGTAGTATAGGTACTAATTACTAGTACTTATCAGTCGAAGTAAATTACCCGTAATCTTATCAAAATTATGTGTGATTAGAGCTGACGGTGGATTTTCAGGCCATGTTCTTTGGAAAAGAGTCACCGGTGAAATTGTATGGGGTAAGTTCAAAATCCCGGTTTTTATCAGAAAACCCAGCCATAGGACGTAACATTTATTTGAATTTTAAAATTTTAAAAATTGTGATAATTTTTCGATTATCAATTGAACCTAACGTGCTTGTGCAGTAAAATCATTGGATTTAACATATCATAAAAAGTAGAAACCGCATCTTTAGTTAAAGATATGTAATACACTTTAGGCAAAGAAAGTAGAAGAGACGAAACAATTAGGACGAGTGCTAGCTGTTTTCGTTCCATTTCCACTATTCTGGGCTCTGTTCGATCAACAAAGCAGTCGCTGGGTTATGCAGGCGGACAGAATGAATGGGAAAATTGTAAGTGATTGATTAGCATTTTATTAGCATAATTAATGAAATAACATTAATTCTACGAAGGAGCGTTGGCTTCCTTCGTCCATCTAATGAACTACTTTGTCAGAAGAAGTAACATACTGATCAATAATTGTAACAGATGATAATCCATAAGATTTCCAAACAAAAAACACAATATTTGCAGGGCTCGTTTGAGATAAAGCCTGACCAGATGCAAGTGATCAACCCTGCATTTGTTATGTGTCTCATACCCTTCTTCGAGATAGTAGTCTATCCTCTTATGAAGAAAATTGGTATTCCCACAAGGTACTTTGAAAGCTATAAGATTCCCCTTGTTCCTCCGAATAATTCGATCCTAAAACAACATAATATAACCATCGCTGCACTCCTAGTATAGTTAATTTACGCATCTTTTACCTTCCAGCTAAGCGCTTTCTGTTGTTTTATCATTTAATTTGCTAAGATATTAACCCAAACTGTCACCAGACCATCAGTTCAATCTTGATTACTATATTCACATATACTTTATCTCTTTTAGCCCAGCATTCAGAATAGTTGTGGGAATGTTCTTCGCTGCTATAGCCTTCATTGTGTGCGGATTTGTTGAGTTAGCTATGGAGGTAAATATTAAATCACTTAAGATCTGACTGTTCATCAACCGCTGTCGTTTAAATTGTTCACTATTAAGGTTGAAGTAAAAATGATATATAGTATACACTATACCCTCACGTCTGCTAGTAATTTAACTCTGAAATGAATCAGACATATCCAAAGCCAAAATGTAAAATCCTCAACCTTGATCAATTTCAGAAACGTGTATCCAGTTGGAACATTGTACACCCAGACGACATCAGAATACTGAGCACCATGGACAAGGAGCACCAACTTCACGTTCTCACCATGATACCCCAGATTTTCCTAATCACCTGTGCGGAGATTCTCTGTTCTATAACCGTCATAGAGTTTGCCTATGCTTATGTGAGTTGTATTTTTTCTTTGAAAACTTTGCTTGTGAAAACTTCCATTCGGAAATGAAACTGCAATGAAATTAGTGTATTTATTTATGTTGTCTCGACTAATGTCATCCCCGTTGATCAGGCTCCACCTTCTATGAAGTCAGTATGTCAGTCAATGATGCTCATAACATCATCATTCGGCAACCTTGTCGTTGTCATCTTCACCAAAGTGACCAAAAGAGATGTAAGCATGAGCTCAATATTAAATGCTCTATTTTTTGTTATAAATATGGTATAATCTCATGATTTCGGTTTCCATAACAGAATAAAACAGATTGAGGTTATTTTTAAAGGTTGAATTATCGTGAACATTGTTAACAAGTTAACATTGATTCCAAAACCCTCCAATCGTCAACTTATTTCAGCTGTATCAGTACTTTATGTGGGCGGGTATCCAGATATTTGCTTCTGTTCTCATGTATCTCATCTGTCGTCGAGTCCAGGCACCATTGGACGAGTACAAGAAAAGGACTTTGGAGGGCGATGCGGTGGAGATGACGAACACGCAGGATAAACGTGAAGCTTCTTAGGCATTTGAAGATTGACAAGTCTAACAAATGACTAATAGAACTAATTGAACCGATTGATGTTATACTCTGTGATAAAGATTGCGACATATTGGTAATGCACTTATCTATGAGTTTCAATTTAATGCAATTTTAGAAAAATCGGGCGATTCTTCAGAATATAAGAATATGAGATTTGTTTCGAGCAGGGCTCATGTATATTATAAAATTGTATATTTTTGGCTTGATTGCATTAAGAAACTTTTCTTTTTTTACATAAATTAATCGGGACTCACCCGAGGTCTAAAATGGAATTGGATTCATTTGGTAATTGGTTAAATTGATGAAGCTAGATGCTTACGCATGATTACAAGTACACAGTAGAGATATACAGTACACAATGTTCGAGTATTCGAAGGCGGCTGTTACGCGCTTAAATTACGATCTGTTTAACAGTAAAATAAACTAAAAAACAAGTCTAGTTGGCTCATCATTTAATATTGATCATTCGTCACCCTTAATCGATTATTCGAGAGTCGAGACAATACTCAGAGAACATAAAACGCTTTTGGCCGAAGTTCGAGCGAATGAAGAATTGCAAACAAATGATTGAAGAATTAAGGAATGTCTAAGGGCGCAGACTGCATGAGATGCTTTAAGTTTAATGCAGGTCACTACCATATGAAATATGATCATATCAATGGGTTGCCCTTTTATCTACCAATTAATAATTATTCCAGAACCGTTATTGCAAAATGTGAATTCTGAAACTACAAAATGTTTGAATTGGTTGGGCCTTACCGTCGATATTCTGGATTAAAATGTTGTATGTATGCTAAAGAATATACTTTTATTGGACAGCACTTATATTGTAAAATGACGTCAGGGCTACTAAGATGAAATCGAACTTACCTTGAATGCTTCTTATCAGTCATCATTGAAGATTCAGATTTGATAATGACCAGTAACATAATACTTCAATTGTGATTAAATAATTGATTCATTTTTACACTGTCTATTATACATGGTAACCGGTAATTTAATTTCCACGTTTTAGCAATAATATTTTTTTGCAGTTTTGGGTACCGCCATTGACACCTACCTATGTGTATCTGTTACGACGATTAAAGGTATTGCAAATATAATAAGGGTCAAATAGACATTACTATTTTCTATCTATTGCTGTTTGTATTATAATTTTGAGTAAACATTAATCGAGTAAACCGCTCGATTCCCAATCAATCAAAGACTGTGCTATCACAATGATGGCAAGCATGACCGTGCCTATTATATTCACTACTACTTACCCCCTTTACTATTTACCCCTTTTACTTTTATACCCCCTTTACTATTATACCCCCTTTACTATTATACCCCTTTATTGTTTTTCAGGCATTAAGACTCATCGAAAGTAGTTCAGCAAGTATTTTCAAAACATTCTAATTCAATGTTAAAGATGACAGGAATAAGAAATAGTTATGTGGAGGTTTTTAAGAAATTTGCGCAAAATACTAGTTTTAAAGTTGAAAATCAAAAAGTTGCACAAGTGAGGACTGGCCCAAATTGATAGAAAATTGCTAAAATCACTGAAAATTGGTGTTTTCTCGATTTTTATCAACTTTAGAGCCCCGTTTTAATCCACGTTCTTTTAAAAACCTTTTGAAACTTTGCACGCTTATCAAACTATATATAAAATACCACTATACAAAAATAAACGGTGATTCAATATTGTAAACGGATTAAACGGATTAAACGGATTAAACGTTAATTAAACGGATTAAACTTTAATTGGTCAAGAGAAGCCCTAACACTCCTGGCTTGACAATACAAGAATGTAATCATAACATAGAAATAAGATACAAAAACCGTAAAGAAACATAAACTATAATTTAAGCTAAGTCTCTCGGGAAACGAAGTGCATCTATATTAACTAAACATTTAGCAATCTCTTTTAAAAGCTTTGGTTGAGTGAATATGAGATCTATTCCCTCGAAGAGGTTGGTTTTAGCTTCAGGGCTAAGGCGGTCCCTGTTGTCTTGGTAGAGGGGGCAGGTTCTAAGCACATGAACCTCATCTTCTATTATGGGATCAAAGAAGGGTAGCTCTGCCATGTACTTCAGAGTGTTCTTGTCCTTAGTGGAACATGTAGTGCAGATACGATTTAGGATGTTGTTTCTACTGACATGTCCATGGCGTCCCGTTTCAATATTTAGGCGGTGAGAGCTAGTCCTTATTTGGGCTAGTCTTTTTGACTGGTCGAGTGGAAGATAGAGAGAGGTATTTTTCACAACCAAAACTTGATTTAATCGAATTGTAGAATCCAAGTTTTCTGTTGAGCTGTCTCTCTTCATTGCGTTCTAAAGCAAGAACGGAGAGCATCTCGTATCTGGATGGGCGATACTGATTGTTGCCTTTCGTTCGTTTCTGCCAGAAATTGATTCATAGACGTAATGCCGGAGTACCATAATAGGCCCATTTTCTTTTGTTCAGTGAATGCATGTCGAACATGAAGGGCTTCCGATCCGGAAGTTTCCATGCTTTCTAGTCTTCGAACATAGTTAGATACTTGGGGACTGGCCTCAATAGCAAAAGGGTGTCGACCCGTATCACCCCACACTCCTGCATTGGAGGTTCTTTTACTGACGCTTATAGTCCACTTAAGGAAGAAGAGGTGAACTTTCTCGATCTGATCTTTGGCAATTTCCTTGAGTTGAGGGAACTTGTTCCGGAAATAGAATGCAGTCATGTATGTGCACGCAACGTCCGCTCAAAGTTTGCACGTGCGAAAGGTGAGAATTTTGCTCATTCGTGATTTCGATTAGATTCTGCTTTTCCGTGACAGTTGAATGGCATTATATATGAATTTAATGCCGACTTGAATGAGTAAAAAGTGCCATATTCAGTCAGTTATCGACAGATATGTCTACCTAAACACAAGGAAATGTTTTCAAAGGTTAAATTTCGAAATTGTTGAAGTTATGAGTTTACATTTCGACTTTGAAAAGTACCCTGACATTATAATCAAAAAGAGATGATATTTGATCAAAACCCATAATCATGGGTAGAGTGGACCGCTGCCAGTTTACCTGAGGACCCCAGGCTTTTATGTTCATTAACATATAAACGAATAAAGATTTGGCGGAATGACAGGCTGAGCGCGGCCCAGTAACTGCCAGTGTCTCTCTTTCCCAAACAAAAGTAGATGATATTAATTTGAATGACCGTCTGCAAATGCAAAATGATACCGAGAATGAAATCGGTCGCTCGCTTTTCCCATTCATTCACGGCTTACGAATTGTAATAAGTTTCGAATAATTGCATCAATCACATACTGTAAAAATCTTTTTGGGTTGCTTTTGGGTCGATACCTAGTATTTTGGGATAAGGAAGCTATAATTAGTGTCCAATAAGCTGATATTTATTCATTGTTGAATCTTTATTGCAGAGTATAACAGCTGCCTTCAGGTAGTTCTTCTTACAATTGTAATAGATTAAGAAGAACAATTTTCATCCTAAAACAATTTTTATCCTATAACAATTTTCATCCTATAATTCATCGAAATGTCCTCACAGACCGTGGTTTAGATATATCTTATAGTAGTCAGACCGTGAGACCGCCGCCGCCTAAAAGTAACACGTTGCATATCTCTGCCGTGGGAGAATTTTGTATCAATTGCTGCCACATGCATAATCATGGTAATCTTTAACATTGTTAAAGACTACCATTATTTAGGGTTAACATTGGGTTGACATTTCAAAGACTATCATGATTTAAGGTTAACATTGGGTTAACATTGTTAAAGACTACCATGACCATTCATGATCATGGTAGTCTTTAACAATGGTAACCCTAAATCATGGTAGTCTTTAACAATGTTAACCTTAAATCATGGTAGTCTTTAACAATGTTAACCTTAAATCATGGTAGTCTTTAACAATGTTAACCCTAAATCATGGTAGTCTTGAACAATGTTAAAGACTACGTCATTTTAGCACCTAAGTCATTTTAGCACCCACTTTGCACTTGTTCCCACCTCACAGAGAATCGGCTACATTATATCATTATTCATTGGTGTCATGAAAGAATACAATTTGGACGTAAACTTGGTCACAGCAAATCCTATTTTAAACGATCTAAACGTTGTTGACAAAATTACAGAACTGCAGTGCACCTCATCACGGGACATTGTGGCCTCAACAAACACCTCAACACCATTCACAAATCAGACACAAGTGCTTGTCCTAAATGCGGCGACGGAGAGGAGACTGTCTCACACTTTCTCGGACAGTGCCCGGCTATTGCCCAAATAAGAGGTCAATATTTCCGGGACTACTACCTCTCTGTCAATGACATATTCGACAACCAACACATCTCCACCATTGTCAACTTTACAAACCACACTAAACGCTTAGTGGTGCCGGAGGAGTTGGACCAGACAGGTGTAACATAGCGACTACTTTAACGCCGTCTTGTTTCGCCCCTCTCTTCCACACTCAACCACCACTTAAGCGTTTATCTATGACACACCCCACAACACTTACCATCATCCTTGTTTACACATCTTGATTCCACTGGCATCCTCCCACAGGACTGCCATACCCCAGAGGTAGGCAAAGCATCCATATGCTATCCTCTCGTGGGCCAACCAGGCCCAGCCTCTCTTAAAAAAAAATAAATAAATTTAAAAAAAAAATAAAAATAAAAATAAAAATAAAAATAAAATAAATAAAAAAAACGTTGTTGACTACGATGAGTCTGAAATTGAGCCTGCAAAATTAAAAAAAGATGGTGTGCAAAATTGTGCATATATATAATAATATTATTTTACTTGCTGTAATATATAGAAATGAAAAATTTCGTCTGATCGTCCCATTACTGAGGTTAGATATCTCCCAACAAAACTTTTTGTACACCTCTACGAAAATTTGGAATGATCTCATTCCCTATGTATTCAAAATATGTGATGCTAATGAAGATGGGATAATAATCCCGGGTTCTTCCAAAAATTCAGACTTATCAGCCTCGTCAGGTATTATTAAATCCAATCTTAAAAAGCACTTGCTATCCCTCCAAAATCGAGATGATCCTAATACATGGTAACTAATCTATACTTCTATACTATATCTCAAATTCTACACTTCAGTCTAAACTAAAACTCAACTGGGCTCTGATCCTGTGTCACCAAACTAGACAAATAAGTAATTTTAGATTATTATATTTTTCTATATTTGTATAATAACTAATAAGTATATTGACGTAGTGGATGATTGAGGGGGTTTCAAGCACAGGTCACTCTCAAATCCAAAGATAAGCAGTGGCCTTCGGCACTTGAAACCTCTTCAAACCTCCCCTGATTTATTTAATATTGATATTGTTTGATTGTGCCGTAAAAATAAATATTTGTTTTATTAAATATTTGTTTTATTATTTGGTTAAGTCTGGTTTGATCGTTGGTTTTATAATATTAAATTCATATAATTATAACCAATAACTGTCTATTCAAATACCAAATATCATACCGTGATAAGGAGTCGTTCACATATTACGTAATCAACCGAGGGGGAGGGGGTTTCCAAATGATTATGGTTGATTACGTAATCTCGGTATCATTTTGCATTTGCGGACGGTTATTCAAATTAATATCATTTCCTTTTGTTTGGGAAAGAGAGACACTGGCAGCAGTCCACTCTACCCATGATTATGGGTTTTGGTCAAATGTCTTACCTGAATTTACGATGAACAGCCACTACAGAAACGTGCACCACCGCGATTCGCGAAATTTTGACCCAGACAGTGGTCTTTGAGGTATTGGCCGTCAGATCAACAATTACAGCTGTTAACGATCAATTAGTTCTTCATTGTAGAGTGATATTAAGAAATCAATTCATATACATCAGTTACACAACCAAATTACCATCATATACACAGTACACTGGTTTTATTTCTTGTTCCATAATCCAGCTAATATAGTTATAGCGTAATACTAAGTAATAATACAATAGCCCTCACAGAACGCGGTTTGGTTATGTAGTAGTCAGACCGCGGTCAGACTCACCGCCGACCAATTTTGGCGCCCGGAGTCCAGACCGCCTAAAAGTAACACGGTGCACATCTCTAAGCCACTACAAGGTTTGCCCCTTTTTTGAAGTGGGTCTTAGTAAAAGTTCGTTGCTGCAAAATGAAAAACGACCTAATTAAACAGAGCAATCATTTCAGTTGACCCTTTACGTTTATTCTCCT